ATTGGATCTTCCTAAACTTTCAATATTAGAAATGTCCTGTGCGTTCCAGCTACGAGCACACCCAGCGAGCGTGTATTATCCATAGCTGGCTCACTCTCAACTCTAAAAGATCATTTAATGTCTTATAAATCTAAATATTATATATGATAATTTTAACTTAATAAAATGATTAAATTAGTTATAAACATAATAAAGCATAAATTTTATTTTATAAGTGTTTCCAATGAATTTATAATTTGAATTTAAAAAAAATTTGAGTTAGAAAAATATTTGACGCCGCCGCCAATTTTTGTGGCGGCGTCTAAATCGATTCGCCGCCGCCAGCCGATCATTTTAAAAAAATAAACGCCGCCGCCGGTAATGCTGTCGGCGCACATGTCTACCTATTGGTTCGGTTTTTAGAGGACTTATTTCCAAAACAATAGGCAGGAGAGAAACAAGGCTTCAATTTTTGGTTTCAACCCAATTAGGGAAAATATTTTACTCCTTATTTGTTTTTATCTCATCTTGCTGAAAATTACTAATTCTCTGAACGCTTGTTATTGTCCCACTACCAACGTCTACATGACAGGATTTTCACTGGTACAAACCCCCTTTAAAACCTATGCCTACCCCCTTAAAAAAATTCACTTCTTTCGGCGGCTATGTTTCCCTATTTTTAATTTCACCTTTTTAATTATAATGATACTCTATCAGAAAATTTAAAAAGAATAACTTAAATTATTTTATCTCTACTACCAACTATCGACATTTTGTGAATATAAGGAGTTATTTTTTAGATAATAAATTCAATTAAAACCCCCATCATTTACAATGAATTCATTATTATAGCATTATGAGCTTGCTGAAAATATCTAAATCTTTTAAATTACATTGTAAGGATAGCAGAAAGATCTATTTGGAAAAAAATGTCTGATTGTTTGCAATATATAGATTTGGTTGATGAACTGTATTTTAATAGATCTAAAATAAATGTATTAATTTTTACAGCAATAAATTTTGTCCTATTTGATCTCAAAATTTAATAGATAACCCCCCAAAAAATGTATCTTACCCCCATTAAAGCCGCCTACCCCCCTCAAAAAAATAGGATGCGAATAATCCTAACCTCCCCCCCCCCCATTTATGACGCTGCCCACTACCACTAATTATGGTCCATTTTGCTTAGATTCACATGAAAACATTCAACAAGGCGACCCCCATTTTATTTAATCTCGTTATAAATAACCCTTGAGATCTTAAACACAAATTTTTACTTCTATTTTAAAAGCGAGAATGCATTCCTTTTTTTCAAACGGAGTAGAGTAACGTGCAGTGGCGTAGACAAGGGGGGGGGGTTTTAATTTTAAAAAAAAATTTAGATAGAAATTTTTTTTCTTATTGCGAATAATTTTATTTAAAATTTATAAATAAAATTATATAAGATATGAAAATGAAATATATTTAAAAAAACAAATAAGAATTTTCAATTTTAAATGATAACATGGTTTAAAAATATATATTAAAAATTATATGCAAAATATTAAATAACAATAAAAATATATTGTAAAATATTAAATAACAATAAAATTATACTGTAAATTTTTTCAAGTATAGTTAAATTAGATATTTATAAATTTAATAATAAAATTTATATTGTTAAACTAATTAGATTTTAAAAATTTTAATTAATTTTTAAATAAAAGATTGGTAAATATAATGAGAAAGTAAAGGTGATAACTAATATGTTTGGGATTAAAAATTTTAAACCTAGAATAGTTTCTAGATAGTCCAATCGCTTAAATATTGATGCATCTACGATTAAGGATTTTTATAAAATAAATATTTTTACTATCCTTATTGATACATTTTTATTTCAATTAAAGGAAAGATTTATTAGTCAAAATTTAATTCTAAACAGCTTTCATTTTCTTTTGCCGGTTGATTCTGAATACACTTGAAACGCGAGAGGATATTAAGTCTCAGAGTTTTATTCTGATGAATTATTAGGATCGTATGATAAGTTACTTTGTGATGTCGAATTTTGGTATAAAAATTTTGACAGAATAGAGTACTCTTTGATACAAAAAAATGCTTTGCAGGCCCTTTCCATTGTAATAGCACTTTAGATTCCCTGCCTAATATCAAAACATTGCTTTTTATTTTAGCTACCCACTAAATGAAATTTCTTCTTCAATTTTTAAAAGAATAAAACCCTATTTTAGAAATAGCACCGGTGAAAGACGTTTAAATGATTCGTAATATTAAATATTTATAAGATTCTTCTAGATAAAAATTTGATTCTAGATAAATGAGTCAAATCTCAGAGAAAAATACACCTCTCTTTATAAATTCAAATCATAAAATTGCTATATTATTATAACATATTTTATATTCAACAAGTAATTATAATGTATTCTTAGTCATAATATTTATATATTATACTATTTTTAATAAAAATATTGTATTTGCAATAAGAATTAGAGATCTGTATCGGGCCTAATTTTTCAAGCCCGGCCCGAAATTATTTTAAAAATGTTTTGTCGGCCTGGCCTGTATTTATTTAAATATGGAAATTCATTTTTATAATTACTCAAAATAAAAGATGTCTAGTTTTTATATATAAAATCAAATATTTATATTTTACATAAAAAATTTAACATAAAATTGATATATTTAGATATATTTAAAAAAAAAAAATTCCAAAACCCGATCCAACCCGACCCGAATTTTTTTAAAAAATATTAGGCCCGAACCCGATTTTCCTACTTTTGCAGATCTCTAATAAGAATTATTAATGTTCTATTAATATACTCATTTGTTATCATTAAAATAATACATAGTTAAATAAAGGGGTGTTATTTATACTAATGTATTTTAATAATAAATAAAATCTATAATGAAATTCTCTGCAAAATTTTGTTATATGCAAAAATTTAATTAAAATAATTATTTTAACATAGAATAAGATATATTGAGTGTCATAAAAAATGGGAGTTTTTTTTTTGGGGGGGGGGGGCGATTTTATTAACATTGATAAAATTTTCAGAATAATGCTTTCAGTCGCGTAATAATCATAAATTTGGTCAAAATTTGTTACTAATATTTTTTTTCATTTATGTTGGCTACTATAGTGATTGGCGAATTTTTAAAATATGGTTTGGAAAAAATTTTTAAACTCCCCCCCCCTTTATGGGTTCAATCCAGGCTACTGGTAACGTGTTTCTTTTTTTAATTCTCAAAAAGTTAATTATATCATTTGAAATATGGGCAATGTTTATGGCTGAATGTAGTGTTGTTAAAAGGCTTGATTAAAATTATTTTTAAAAACTTTTATCAAGATTTTGGCCAAAATATTATTAGGTAAATCGAAATTTCGGCAATAGATGCTCCAACCTTTCCGCAAACTGTGGGGAGAATCTTCAAGCTTGGATAATTTACTTTTGGCTAAAATTTTGAGCTAGTCACTTAAAATCGGCGAAATCAAGCCGTTTAATAACTCTAGCTTTATGTGACTCGTTAGATATTTTAAAATCCTTTTTTTTGTTGCAGATATAACAAAAAAATCAAAATTTTAGCCACTCTATTTTTTAAAATAATTCTATTTTTTTTAAACATTACAAATATATTCAATTTTTGATTATAAAATTATATATAAAATCATAATATAACCAAAACCAAAAATGATTGATCATCACAAAATTCAATATTAAATTATTTACATAGAATATTATAAATGATACATCCAAATGTAAAGTTAGATTGTGATGCAATTATGACATCATGGTGCAAATCTTGAGCGTCACATCAAAAAAAATCATCCTCTAAAACTCGCTAAAATAAACAAAATATCACAAGTCAAAAGAAATAAAAAAGATTAGGATGTAAAACAACAGATTCTTGAAGTATTTATAGAATAAAGATGGCATAAACAAAATCTATAAGAAATATCAGAGAATATTTTAGCTATTCTAAAGAACCCCACCTGAGTAAAGAAATGAATATCTTACACTAATGGCAAGATCAGAGTATTCAATACATCAAATTATATAAACTGTCTTATGTTGTATTGGCAGTGCTGACTACTCATGTTAGTGGAAAGAGATGCTTTTAACAATAAAATTTATACTTTCTCCATATAGATGTAATTCAACTAAAGTACAAAATATTTTAATTGCACAGCTCTATACTATTTTTTAAATAAATAATGTTCAATATTGAAATTAACTGATATAAAATAAAAAAATTAATGAATGTGTGCATATAAAAGGGTTCAAAACAGATTTTAGAAATTCATGCAGAATAGATATTATTATTTTTTACAAACCAAATCGGAATCATTAATTTTATCTGAACAGAAATTCATTTTGGATATCTGATAAAATCTGATTTGAGAATGATTACAATATATAAATTTTACTCTCAAGTAGGATTAAGCAATTGTTTAGTAAGGTAAAACTAATACTGAATGTGCTCCTACACTTATAAACACATAAGGCCCAACATTGATTTTATATGGGAAGGGTCCCAACCAAGGTAGAAGGTTATTGAGGCATTCCCTGCCAAGATTATACTAAGGGGTTTCCATTTTTCAATTTTTTCTCCTATAATTTACTCATTTTATATTTAAATGTAAAAATTAAATAAAAAAATTAAATGTACATAACATCTTTTGAGTTAACCCAAAATGTGCAATCAGAAACAAAAATTTTGGAAAAATACTTATAATTTTATTTTTCTGTTTTTTTCCAGTGAATTGGCAATGACAGCAAAATAATAATTTATTATAAATAAAGAAGATTCTATGGTAAAATTAATTTTTTTAAAAATACAACCAGGATAATTCACATATTTTTTTAAATATAATATAAAAATTTGTTTTTTAACTTATCTAAAACATAAAAATTTATATATTTGTTTTTTAACTTATCTAAAACATAAAAATTTATATATCATTTTAAAATCCCAATTACACACAGATAACTAAGAAATCAACTCAAGATAAATGAGCAGTTTATTAAATATTTATATATTTAGAATTGGTACTTTTTGCTCAAATTACAAATGCATTGTATATATTTACATAATAAATAAAATATTTAATTATTTATTGTAATAATCTGTTAGAAATTTTGTGAATCTAAAAAAAAATTTATTCATACATTATAAAATAAAAACAATTTACTTGTATAATTTATCATTATTTTTTTTCAATGCTTCATTTAAAATATCAACAATGTATTTAACATACTGTAAAAAATATATTTGACAAATTACATAAAATAACTCAAAAACTTCATTAGACACAAGTTGGTAATTTAATGGAACATGTATACTTGAGGTGTTCCTGATTGCCAGATTAATTTTTTTGCTTTTTCCTATAACCAAGCCAGAATTTTTAAATCCTTCATTTAAAACAACAGACAACTAAAGTAAGTTTACTCTATATATCATTGAACAAGAATATACCAATTGTGATGCTTTTTCTAAATTCCTACATTGTATATGAAGAATAAATGGTTCAAATGATATAGAAAAATCACCATCAGTAACTAATTCCTCAATCTTTTTTTAAAATAAAGTTTCTAAAAATTAGATATAATACGATTTTATCTGAGGGTGTCGGATCGTGATAGGAGTTGATTAAACGACCTTGTTTTCCACTAGACTATCTAAACATAATTATATTATAAAAAAGATGTAAAAACATTATTTGTTATGCTAATTCTCCCTGAACAAGATGAAGTTGTATAATAATCTGAAAGACTATTAATAAGAACTATAAGATCACAAATATTTCTGTCAATGGATCCCTTTATACTATTATCAGCATGAAAGAAGGTGGATAGTCGTTGCCGATTAAAATTATCATTTATTACATTTTCCATTTACGTGAATTCAGATAAAAAAATAAACATAGATGGCGTATATTCATATCATATGAATTTTAAATATTCCTTTAAACAATTAATCAAATAAATCTATCCATACAATTACAATGTAAATATTCCATTCACTTTTAATTTACATATTATTTATAAATATTGTTGAGATGATATATTATTACTAAATAAAATATTTCAGCATAAGTTAAGTATACATAAAATAATTTTATGGGCTTGGGAAATTTTTTAAATATTATAGCGGGCTTGGTTATTTTTAAAAAAAAAGAGACGTATTAAATAAAAAGGTTAAAATTATACTATGCCTAACGAAGACTCGAAGAAGATATTTCAGAAGACAAACGAAGAAACATCAACATCTACTCAATTCTATATTCCAGAATTCGTCAAAGAAGAAGTGAATATTCAGCACTATTTATATAATTTACAACTCATCTTTAAAGTAAAAAATATTGTTGATCAAAATAAAAAAAAAAGATTTGTTATTAGCGTACTGATAATTTAATTAAAATAAAAAATTTTTACTGCCCAAATAATTTAGAGAGCATTAATTATATAACTTTACTTGATAGTTTAAAGAAAATATTTAAGGATATCTCTAGTATTTTCCTACATCACAATAATTTTATACTCTAAAAAGAGACGGTAAAACTATTATCGATTTTTCGATCAAATTGAAAAGTACTTGCTCTTTATGTAATTTTAAATCACCTGTTGATGAACCTTTAAGAGATATTTTTATCAGGAGTAGGGTTGCCTGAGTTGGATAAATACCGAAGGCAATATCACTGTTGAAGATATCGTGCGTTTAGCGGTCTCGCTGTCTTCATTGGAGAAGGAAACACAGGCAGAAGATAACAAAATAATAAAACATAAGCCTACGCAAGATTCCAAAAATACTTATTTTAGGAATAATAATTATAATAAGGTTAATATTCAATAATAATAATTATTATAATGTTATCAAATTCAACCATAATAATTATAATCTTAATAATTATAAATCAAGCTTTAAACCTAATTTCAGTCAAAAAAAAGTCATATGCTTTCGATGCGGAAAAGCAAACCACTAACAATAGAGTGTAGAATGCATGCCATACGAGTAATTCTACCATGGACACCTCGCCTGTTATTTGCTAATAAAGCTACCATCGATGCGAAGATAAATGGGTGCAGTTTACTATGGAATTTTATACCGGTGCTGAAAGTAATGTGATAGATGATGTTACTGGAACCGCATAGGCAAACCATCATTATCGCCTGCATATAGACTAGTGGGATATAATCATATCAAAATCGACGTGTTGGGTAAATGTTTAGTTGAAGTAAAGAATATTTCAAAGTTTTTACCTATTTGGGTAGTTAAAGGTGAGAATTTTCTTATTTTTGGAGCCCTTATGAAAAGAATTTGATATAAAACTTTCGGAAGAAGTTTGGATTAATGATATAAATATGAATTTTTCTAGTTTAAATGCTATTGTTTCAAAATTTCCGCAAGTTTTTAAAAAAAATTAGGACAAATAAAATTACAGGAAGTCGTTATCAAGATACAATTGAACACATTGCCAATCGCGTTACCAGCAAGAAGAATTCCATTTCCGTTGCGTCGAACCGTTGAAGCTGAGTTAGATAGACTTTTAGACGAAGGCGTTATCGAGAAGGTGGATCCAACAACAACTCCAATCATTTGGACTACGCCAACGATTAATAACAAATAAATCCGTTGCCGTGCGGATATGCGGAGAATTTTGTATAACAATCAATAACTATTTTGCAATAGATAACGATTTACTACCAAATTTTGTTGTCCTGACAAATAGGATTGCGGGTGGTATATTTCAATGATAGATTTAAGAGATGAATTTTTATAATTCGGAGTTAGTCTAGAATGTAGGGACCTTTTAGTAATTTCGACTCATGTCGGTTATTACCGATACCAAAGAATTTCTTTTGGGTTGACTACCGTTCCGATAATATTTCAACCTTTATACAAAACCTATTAAAGGTAATTCCTATGGTAGGATTTGATAAGGCTGGACTGACAACGACAACCGATAAAATTAAAAGTGGAGAAAAATCAGTTACTTAGGTCATGTTATTGACGAATTCGGAATTTACCCTACAGAAGATAAGATTAATGCCATAAAAAATTGTAAAACACCATCAAATGTTAAAGAATTATGTTCTTTTCTTGGAATAATGAATTACCATGACTCTTTTATAAAAAAAATTTACATCCTATTTGTGCACTTTTATACCGACTAACGTGTAAAAATGTTAGTTGGTTTTGGTCAGGAAAATGAGATATTTAATAGAGTTATAAAATATTATCAAAAGAAGATACAATAATTCCTTATTCAGCCAATATTCCTGTCGTGATTTCTTGTGATGCTTCCAAAGATGGTATAGGAGCTGTTATTGTACACCAATTTTATACTGGCCAGAATAAACCGTTGCTTACGCATCGAGGATACTTTCGGCGGCTGAAAAGTATTAACCACCATTGATCGGGAAGCTTCGGCGATCATGTTCACTATTGAGAAGTTTCATCAATATATTTATGAAAAACATTTTATTTTGGTTACAGATCATAAATCTTTAAAATATATCTTAGGTGATAAGAGACCTAAATAAAATAACAAATAACCGTTTAATACGGTTGGCGACGAAGCTATTAAATTACGTCTATGAGATAATTATAGACCTGGTAATCAAAACAAATGCCAAAGCTCTGTCCTGTTTGGGAGTAGGGAGAAAAATCTAATGAAGTTAATATTGAAAAAAAAATGAACCCTTTACTCTCAACCCTTTCCTCACAAAAATATAACTTATCAATCCAAAATAATCCTTTTAATAATATTAAATAAATAAATAAACATTACTACAATTCCACTTTATTCATGTATATATAACATATATACATATTAAATCTTCCCCAATCAATCCCGTCTTCATCCAATATCTTCACTCCAAATAGCAAACAAAGAAACTTTTTAAAAACAATCCATGTGATAATTTCGTTTTCCTCCCATCCACCAGGAAAACTAATTTCCCTGTCAGAAAATAACTGACATTTGATGTATTATATTAAATTTATTTCTTCTTTTTTTCAACAGCTACAACAGTTACAAAAAAATTCGAAAATGAAATTAGAGAATTAAAAATTAATTTATTATAATATTTATCTTTCACTCGCCGTAAAATTGTAAGTGAAACAAACAATGATATGAATCTGAAAGAAATTATTAAATTAATTAAAAATCATTTGTTTATTAATAATATTATAATTATTCGAAGATTTAAAAAAAAATTTATTTTAATTAAAGATAATATTTCGTTCGAAGAAAGATTATTATTTTATAATGATAAAATTATTATTCCTGATAATCTAAAGAAGGAGGTTTTGAATGTTAACCATCAAGGTCATCCTGGTATAATGAGGATGAAATCATTATATTGATACTATGTTTTTTGGACTAATCTTGATCGTGTTGTTATAAAGTTCGTTAAATGCTGCAAGAGTTGTCAGGAAGAAAAGCTGGGAGCCGGAGTAGTGCTGTTATACAATTAACCGACCTTGGGAACGAATACCCATTGATTTAACAGGCCCTGTATCTGGAAAGTATTGGTTAATTTACGTAGATGCTTTCACCAAATGGGTTAAAGTTGCAATTTTAACACATATTAATTTGGCGAATGTAAAATAATTTGCGTAATTATTTTGTTAGATTTGGGTTGCCTTGCTGCATTGTTTCAGATAACGGTACTCAGTTTACTGGATCTGAATTCAAAACGTTTCTTCTTACAAACATTATAAAACATTTTAGATTGGCCCCTTATAGCCCCAAATGGTTTGGCTGAGCCTTATATACATACGATAAAGACGCATTTCTATGCTGGAAGGAGATATGGGACTCCGGACCAGCTAAATTTAACGAATGTTTTAATTACTATCCGAAATACTCCAAATGCACTACTGTTAAATCCCCTGCCGAAATGATGTTTGGAAGACCGCTCGAGATAATGTTAGATTAATGGAAATTATATACGAGGGAAAGGACTGAAAACGCATTATGGAAACAAAAATATTATAAAGATAGGAATGTTGAGCCCCGTGAATTTGAAGAGAAGCAAAAGGTTTGGGTAGGAAGAGAAAGGACTGCCGGGTGGTATGAATGAAACTACATGGTTTATAATCCTAAACATGAGCGCCTTATTTAAATTAGATCAATACAGTAAATATAGAAGAAGACGAAGACAGAAAAATTATACGACAAAAAAGATTACAATTTATTAAGTATTGACACAATAAGGATAATTTTTTATGTTGAATCTGTGGGTATTGTTAAAAACAAGCATGCCGACCAAGTGATGGATGCTAATGTACATTCTAAGGAAATATAAATAACAATGACTGAGGATTTGGGAAATGCAGAACATAATAGAAATACAACTCTTAAAAAGAGTTTCGAAACCCCCATTACGTTATCATGATGAATTCAATTTGTAGTGGGGAGAACTGTAATGTATTAATATAAATTGTATTTTGTTAATTTGGTTTTAAGCTACAATTTATTGTAATAGATTAAATAGATAAACGATTTTGTAAAAATATATATGGATATGTATTTTCTTATTTTATATATATAATATACTTAAATATATACTATTTGATAAATACCACAGATAAATAACTAGACAGTTGACCATTATTGCTTATCTAAATTATGCAATCAAATGCTCTCAGTGGCTGTAGTAATAATTTTAAATTACATAACCACACAAATAATAGATGCTGGTTAATTTGCAGTCATAGCTTTGACACTCACGATGTAAACTCATATCAGAATTTATTATGTTAGATAAATTGATAAAATAAAAATACTAAAAATCTTTAGAAAAAATTTTGCAAATATATTGATGCCTTGGGTTATTCACACAGTAAGGATGTCATATTGGAAATGAATCATTTAGTAACTAGAAAATAAGGACCAGAGTGATATGATGAAAGTAATTAAGATTTTTATATATTATTGTCGCACCACCTCTAGTTGGTATATTATGTCTTAAAATAATAGTTGTTTGTAATAATATCAAAAATATACTCGTACTAAAAATTTAATTCAAAACTGTTTTTCAAAGAAGAAAAAAATAGCTTTCCTAAAAACACGTAAATAAAAGAGAAGAAATAAAATATTTAATAAGGATTACATCCATTGTGAGAATAATAAGATGATTAATTTTTTATAATATTATTTTTATTAAAAATAATTAGATGGCTAAAGTAAACTTTTATGTGTAATCATTTATTCTACATAACGAAATATATGTTATCGCTGTCAAACATAAAAGCATATGATAATCATCATATAATCCAAATAGAATATAAAATGTATGAACTTGATAATATCTTATATAGTATTTATCACATTTCCTTATACTTTAGATTTTAAAACTCCTCAATCAGACGATGTGTAGACTTCTTCGATCATTGATTTTTCATCCTCATTGTTGTTTTTAGTTCTCGAGGTAATGAAAACATATTCTGTGAGGCCGAATTTTTTTCAGTCTTTTCCGTTTCGCCGTTATCTCCCTCTATAGGTGATCCTTCTACATTTCCCAGATTCTCAATTTCCGACTCCATATTTTCTTCCTCTCTCCATTTCTTTCGCTACATCCTGTTTTCGCAGTTGATCAGCATGCATTCGTATCGTTCCATCTTTACTTTCCACCAAATAGGAATATCTACCAGTTTTGGATTTTATAATTCCTTCTCTCCAACCTGAATCGATTTCATTATGTACCCATACAGGTTGTTAAACCTCGAATTGCCTCATTTGAATGTGGTCATCATGCGCTGTCTTTCGCATCCTTAACATTTGCCAGTTTTTTAGATTGCGTCCCAACAATATTTTTTCCGGTGAACGTCCAATTATTTTGTCTTGTATCTTTATATTTTACCTTTTATTTGATATTGCATATATAAATATTATATATAATGATATAATAATATAAGGTTTAATTTTTTATCTTGAGAGTCAAAACGTCTCCCATAGCTTCCTCTGGTTCCTTAATGTCTTTTCTAGTGGCAAAATATCAATTCTTAAGTGTTTGTATTGTTCTTTAAGCTAACACATTCTTTTTGGATTAATAAGGTGTTGAATGTATTAATATAATATTTTTTTCTAAATAGAATCTTCGAAATTCTCCAGAACAAAGCTGAGGGACAATATCTGACACAATTTGTTTTGGCGTTCCAAAACGTGCGAACCATTTCCTTAGCGCCCTGATTATTGTTGTAGACCTGGCTTCTCTCATCAACTCGACCTCAACCCATTTAGAATGTGCATCAACTCCAACTAACCCTGAAATCGATAGGTCCCGCGAAATCTAGATGAATGCGTTCCCATGGCATATTAGAGATTCCACGAATATAAAGGATATAATTGATCGGCTGCTTTGATATGGCATATATTAACGAACATGTTGTTGAATGTTTTTATCGCAATTGGGCCACCAACAATACATTTTAAAAATTGATTTCATAGCATTTATTCCTAGATGCCCCCTGTGTATAATAATTAATATTGATTTTTTCAACACGGTTGGAATTGCCAACTTTCCATTCCATTCAATGTCATCACGATATACCTGATAATTCCTCCTTACGATTATTAAAACAAACTAACTCTGCATCATTTTTCGCATCAAACCCCACCCATCTTCGCTTAATGTTTTTAATTACTTTATTTAGCAATCTATCTTTCCTTGTTTCTTTCTGGAGTTCAACTTTACCAAGATTTATATCGAGCAAATTTATATCACTAATTTTTAATGTAAATTTCTGGTCGTTATTTGACTCTATACTTACACTGGCAGTCTAGATAATGTATCAACCACTTTGTTTTCCTTTCCTGACGATATTCAATTTCAAAATCATATGCAGACATTTCCCATGTCCAGCGCGTTAATCGACAATTGGATATTTTTGGTAATTCCCGTTTATCACCAAATAATTTTTCCAAAGATTTGTGATATGTTCGCAATATAAATTTTCGTCCAAATATGAAAGAATGAATCTTTCCATTCCAAACAAAAGTGCTCGTGCCTCTTTTTCTATTGATGCACAATTTTTCTCTGACTCCAATAATATTCGCGAAGCAAATGCGATAGGATACGAAAAAATAACCTTCTGGAATATCAATTTAATTAGTGGCGAAGGCAAAAGGGGGTTTTGGGGTTGACCACTCCCCCCTATGAAATCTGATTAAGTTTAAAAAAAAATTCATTTAAAATTGAATTTCTACTTAAAAATGGGACGTTGAAAATTAAAAATCTAAGAATAAACAATAATATAGACACATTATTGATTTTCACATAAATTTTTTTTATAAATTTTATTTAAAAAAGATTAAAACTGGGACGCTTCCAGAGACGCTGTAAATCAACATGTATTGTTAAAAAGCCCGATTTGAGTCTTTTTAAAAAAAACGACTATTAAGATTTTAGTCAAAATAATATTATGCAAGCCTGTTCTCATAAATGTCAGAAAGGTTTGGACCTCCTAGCACCTTTTTAAAATCGACCCAAATCGGGCTCTTTGACCACTAACAACATTAAATATCTCTATTTGTTGTAGTATATACATATTTCAAAAATAGATTATTAAAATTTTTTAGATTATTTCTTAAAATTTTTATTTTAATTTCACGTATAGTGATGATTAATAAATAATAAGGTAAACCTTATCGCTTATTATTATGAATAATAAAATAAAATTTTTTAAATAAAAATAAATTAAATGGACAACAATAAATTTTAAGGACATTTTTTTTATCCAAAAAATATTTATACCTGTATAAATGTTACTGTTATAAAATTATAACTACTATCCAATTATTATTTTTTTTAAATTATCCATTATCTTTTATTAAAAATAAAAGTAACAAAAAAAAACTATTAGGCTTAAAAGGGCCAATTTAAAAAAAATTGGATAAAATTTATAAAATTGAAATTTGAAAATTTTGTATTAAAGGTTTTTTAAAAAGATGGTAAGTTTTTCCTTTGTAAAACGTTATTTTAATATAAAAAACTAATATTTTTTAAATAAAAATGTTTAGAAATTTCCAACTATAACTGATTCGAAGAATTTCGATCCCAGAGCAGATGCTGAGAAGTTAATGAAAGCCATGAAAAGAATGGGTTAATTTATATTAAATTTATATATCAAAATTAAATTATCATCGAGATTTGAATTTCAATAAAAAAAGATGCAAAACAGCATAGATAAAATCTTAACTTTATATATCCTTTAATTAATACGTCATAAAAATAAGGTAAAATTTTAAGGCATTCTTAAAGAAAATATATGAGCAATTGAACAATTGTATTTATTTCCAAAAAAATATTTTTTAAAGGCACTAACGAAAAGGAAATACTTAATATAGTCGCTCGCAGATCTAACAATGAGAGACAAATGATTTCTCACACATACCAGGAACTTTATAAAAAAGTAATTTTGCAATTTTTATTTATAAAAGTATATAAAGTAAAATTTAAATGCCATATAAAAAATATTGATATCCAAGTAAGTGATTTATTTTTGAAGGTTTAGTTCGTATCAAAAATTTTGCCATACCACAGACTCTATGGAGCAGGCAGGTTGGTGCAGTTCTCAATATTTAAAAATTTAGCTTAACAAAGCGACTGAAATTTATTTTATTAAAATGCAAAATGACCCACTTTTATTTTTATTAATAATAATGGAATCACATTTTCATATTCTATATTGTATATATCATACTCAGTAGCACGGAACCACCTATTTTCCTTGTTGGATTCGAACCTAGGTAGAGGTTTATAAGTAGGCTGTAAAGTAACGACAAGAAATAACGTCGGAAGAGTTGGGCCATTCGTTACATGTGTTTCTTTTTCTAGAGTAACGAAAACGCAAAACCTTATTTAAAATTTTTCTTAAAAAATATTGAAAAAACATATTATATAATTAATTTTATTTATTTTTAAATTTTATAATTTAAACCGGGTTTTTAATTCACATCAACCACCAAATTCCTTCATTTTTATTTTAAATTTTTGTTGTTAAATTTTCCATCAACATTGTTAATCTAATTAAATATTGAATCAATTGTATGTATTATATTCTTATTCTTATTATAATTTATTTTATAAAGAATATATTGTCATTATACATTTTCTTCAGATGAAGAAGAGTAAAACCTGCCTTGGCTCATATATGAAACATTTTTTACACCAATAATAAAATGAAGGGTACAAAAAGTTAATGAAGGGTACAAAGTTTACACTTTGTAAGTGTAAATTGTGTCCCAACTCAAATTAACCTTGATTGTGGTATAAACATAGGCATCCTCCGAACTGTGCAGCCATTTTTAAGGAAAAAATGGGATATCTGCAAACTGGTTATAACAAGATGAAACTCTTCCGTGAAATTAATATCGTCTTATTATGGAGAATGACCACAAATTTGACGCATCTTATGTCCAAATTATAAAGATTTTCAGATAATGATAAGTCATTCGTAGATAAATATTGCATGGCTATATATATGATTTTATAGGTTATGGAACCTATTCTTAGGGCTTTTTCGATTTTAGAGAGAGAAGAAAAAATGCATGTGGGAAATCTCACTCTCACTATAGCTATTATAATATTTAAAAAATGACTTAAAATAATTTCATTTTGTAAGCCACTTATTAATGAAACTCTGCAAGACAATGATAAAAGGTAAACAGTTTATTGTTCACAATTTATATTTTGATAATATATTTCAATAGAATTTATATTATCAGCAATATTTCAATAGAATTTATATTATCAGCAATAATTACCCGCTAATATAATCATATTAACCCTCATAAAACTAGATAGGGAGGGAAGGAAGCTTAAACTTATTTTCTTTTTAGAAACGATCTTGACATAGAAAATACAGACTAGAATCCTTTAAATAACAACATACCTACAGATTATTTTCTAATAAAGACAGGGACCCGGAGTGAACTAGAATGAACCGCTAAACCGTTATAAACGTTTATAAATATATATACCGTAACCGAACCGATGTAATTATTTTTTGAAGGAGTAAAAAGAACCTTTATAAAAAAAGTTAAACCGGTTTGAACTGGTTTTAGCCAAATAAAATTAATATTTTACCATATCTACATCGTTATTTATATTTATTAAATGATCAAATTTGTTTAATATCCATAAGAAGTATGTATTAATTTTTCACTATGACTTAAATTGATCTACAATCTTTTAACTGCTTCATATAGTATTAGAGCATTCCTATTTTAGTATGCAAAATATTTAAATGACCAATTTTTGATTTAGTTGTATTTAATTAATCTAAAAAATCATCAGTTTTTTTTATATTGAGAATCAAAGAAATTTGAATATCCAAAATTATATAAACTTGCTCTTATAGTACTTGCGGTTCCCGCAACACAGGTTTCTGTTAAAAGGACCTTTTCGGGGCTAAAATTTGTGTATCGCCACAACGAACAATTATGAATACACTTATATTAGAAAATATATTACCTATACGTTCAAATAATATATTTAGAAATGAGTTATGATTCTTATATATTATTTTATATATTATTCATAGATACTTATAATAAAAATAAATTAATTTCATCTATTTTATAAATAAACAATATTATTAACTTAAGTGATAGCAAAAATTTTAATAAATAATGTTTATAATTAAAATCATTATACCATGGTGTTGCTTCAATAAAAATAATTTTAAAAAAAATTTCTAATCGTAATGAACCTTTATGAACCTTTAAAATTAGCTGAACCGAACCGAAACTTTATAAATTTTTTCTTAAGAACCGTATCGAACCGTAACCATATAATTTTTTACATATTGAACCGTAACCAAACTGAACCGTTATAAAAAAGGATCGGGTCCCTGAATAAAGATAATAAAAAAACTGGATGAGGATTTGAGTGAAGATTCTTTTGAAGATGAACAAAGCTTTTTCAAAATAAAGATTATTCTTTAATTTTTTATAAAATCTCCCAATTAAAATTTTTATTTATCCAATATAATATAGCGCTCCCATCCTCTGCGCCAGTTGAACGTGTGTTAGCACAACGAAAGCTTAAGCACTAAGCACTCTTGTTTATCTGACCAAATTTTAAGAATCAATTGTTAAAAATAAATTAAAAATTATTACAAAAATATTTTATATTTTGTAATATTTTATTTATTAAGATATATATATAAAAAAAACATTATTATAACCTATCACATATTATTTTTTGCATAATTTTATTTTTATTGTATATAGGTAGACATATACGCCGCCACAAAAATCGGCGGCGGCGCGGCGGCGTCATATATTTTACTAACTTAAATTTTTTAAATTAAATTTATAAATTTATTGGAAACACTTTTAAAATATAATTTATACTTTATTATGTTTATAACTATAATTTAATGATTTTATTAAGTTATAATTATCATGAATAAATATTATTTTATTAAGATTTATAATAATGATCTTTTATCAGAGTGAGCCCAGCTATAGAAAATACATGCTCGCTGGATGTGCTCGTACTGGAACGCACAGGACCTTTCTAGCTAATATTGAAAGTTTAGGAAGATCCAATGCTCTTATCTTCCAAAAATCTAAGACATCTTTTATCTCCAAATTATAAGGCGAAAATAATGAATAACACTCTTTTTCTAAACTAGTTAAATAGTGTTGTTGTTCCAGGTTATTGTTATGAATAGATGAATGTTTCGTAGCCAATGAGTTAAGATAATCGAGTTTTAAATTAACTTCCGTCGTTTCACATTCGTTTTATTCGTCGTGTAAGACCGTAGAGAGGTAGCGTGTTGACATAAAAATTCAACCGGAGTAATATTTTTTTCCTTTAAATATTCATTTACTATGTTTATTGATTGAAAACGAGGATCCAAAAGTGGTCCTAACACCTAAGTAAAAAAATAAAAGAAAGAGAAATAATATATAAAAAATAATTTATGTATTTTAAAATACTACCTGAAGATCGGTTATTGGAAATCTATGATAAAATTTAGTAAGCATATTTTGTTTAAGGGATGCTATGGGAGGACTATCATATTCTTTTACAATTAAATGATTTTTAATTTCACTACGAAATAATAAGGCTAAATTTATAGTAACTCCTTTTTGGACAGATAAAAATTCAACAGTTTTTTTGAAGGTTTTAAGAAAATTTAAAAGTTCATGCACCAAGTCCCAATCGGAGTTAAATAATTTGAGATCCGGTTTCTCCATTCTATTTAATAGAATATTTATAGGATTTTTGTTATTGCCAGTCACACTTTCCAGCATTATTAAAATACTATGCCAACGTGTAGGCACATTTAATTTTAAGGTTTTATGTTTTTTCTCATATGATTTTTGATTTTCACTATCATCATCAAACCCCAAACGATCTTCATAAAAAGAATTATTATCATCCAATTCTAAAATATCCAATGTATATGATATCGATTCAAAACATTTTCTATTTTCTATATCGTTTATATTTTCAAAATCCGCTGTTTTGAATCTTAAGATAACTATAACTTCTCTCACATTTTTAATGAGATTTTCTATTTTATTAACTTTATTATTTCATCGACTGTCACTAGATTATGTAATCCATGCCCCAAACATAAATGATGGTCATATTCTCCTAGACGAACACTTTTCTTTACATTGGGTCCTGCATCCGTAACCATTTGAATTTTCTTGGACCCTAAATCAAATTCATTTTCAACCTTTTCTATTTCGGAAATAATAGTTTAAGCGGTATGTTTTTGAGTGACATGATGTGTAATGTATAAAATACAATATTAAATTTATTATCTATTTTGTGAAATGTAAAGGTGATATAATTTCGCCGTCTATATTTATCGGTCCACATATCAAAAGTTAGCACAAAATTTAGGACCTATATTAATTTTCCACTCCGCCTAAGTGTAGTTCTATCTGGTAATTCCTTGGTATCTGAAATAATGCCATATTTCTACATAATAAAAAGTTAATAATAAAAATATTATGCCATTAAGTAACGAGTAACCCCTTTTTTTATTATCCAGTAACACGTATTTCTATTTTCAGAAGTAACTAGTAACACATTTCTTTTTTGAAGTAACGTTCACAGCACTATTTAAAACTGATTCTAATCAACGTCTACAACTGAACCATAGACACTACTCGGAATAAACAATTTTTTTGTAAATAAGAATAAATTGCGATTAAAAATTTAAAATAAGATATATAATCAATAACGTTCAATGCTGCTCATTAACCCTATTTTGAGAAAGGCAGGGAGAGGTCAAAATTTTCTTAAAAACATAAGAGTTAACTACCATCCAGGATTCATGATTTTGAGACAGCAGATTTAAATAAATGTTTTTGTCACAAAATGATCGATAATACTAATTAAAAAAAATATAATAAAATAAAATTGACATTTTTTTTGTTACTTCACGATGTTTTTTACTTTTGATTCGACGTTTTATAGTTTAGACAACTTATGTATAAAAATATATTTTGGGGAGGGGTCTGCCAGTTTGACACCCCCTTAAATACTTTAAAGCTATGAGGTTACTCTATATATTCATTTCACTTTGTATAAAATTCATTATAAATTAGGATTTGATAAAGGATTTGAAAGGGGAATTGTCTAAGAAGTTAGAAAAAATTATTCTTGCGTTGATGATACCAGTGCTGGAGTATGATTGTTTAACTTTGCGCAATAGTATAAAAGTAAATAATATTCTTTCTTAATATATTCGATATTATAAAACAATTTATTGCAAAAATACACCTCTTATGAAATTATTCAACCATTTAGCGTTTCTTTCTTCCTTCCTTCCTTCTTCCTTCCTTCCTTCCTTCTTCCTTCCTTCCTTCCTTCTTCCTTCCTTCCTTCTTTCCTTCCTTCCTTCCTTCCTTCTTTCCTTCCTTCCTTCCTTCTTCCTTCCTTCCTTCCTTCCTTCCTTCCTTCCGACTATACCGAATCACATAAAATATTTAATTAGGAACAATTTTGAAGTTCATATAATATTTTTATACAATTATTCCGATTAGTATCTCTTTCAAAATTTTAGCATATATCTTTCAGCAAATGACTAATAAATTAAAACTTTCTTTTTTTTCTAATCGAAAAACTGGAAAATAAACATAACAACATGCTTTTAAAATAAAATAATTTCAACGAAATTTTGAAACATTAAAAATTAAATTTATAAAATTTGTAATAAAATATCAATAAATTATTTTTTCCATATTTAATTTTACATTGTTAGCACTTCTAGACTGCATTTATAGTAAATGCGTTATATTTAAGCGTTGTGTTATTTAACGCTATCGAAATCACAGCTGATTCTTCATAGCAATAATAATTTTTGAAATATACGTTGCAACATATGTTTTTTAAATTATATCATAGCGTTATCATCATAATGCTCCATATTTACAAAGTATATATATTTAATGTTTTGATTTTGTAAATAACCAACGCTAACATAACGCTTTTACTATAAATGAGTCCTTACACCAGAATTCAAATAGAGAACATTTCAAAATTAAAATAGAAAACGATTTGGAATATTTATTTTTTATAAATTAGAATAATAATACTCTCAAACAATTTTTTAATTAAAGTATCGGATCGGGTTATAGAAAATATTTTCAATATCAGATCGATAAAAAAAATCGCGAATCGGACAGACACAAGAAAAAATATTAATAATTTGTTTCTTGATGTTGATCTTTCCCCAAGATAAATATTTTTTAATTAACCATAAAAAGTATGTCTCTTAAGTTGAAATTCCAAAAAAAGACTAATTTACTAAGCTTTACTTTATTTCTAAAAAATTTTTTATAGTTGAACAAAAAGAGGATTAAAAGAAAATTCTATAATAAGTTTTATTTAAAACCCAAATAAAAGCTTTAAAAAAATTAATAATGATAAAATTTTAATTTAAAGTGGTAAATCTTTTAACTAACCTTGTATTAAAAAATATAATAATATTTTTGTAACATAACCTTGACCAAAGACCTTCAAGTTTCAAAATATAATTTAAAAAATATAATGACATTTTTATCTCAAAATCGCCTCAAATCTATCACTCTATTATAAATTATTACAAATATTATCAAAGGTCATATTTAAATATTCTTTGGTATAAATAAAAAACAAAGTGATACTAATTTAAAGTATATTTTGTTTCCTAAAACAAGACCTTATTCTATGTTATTATTTTTAGGGAATATAGTTTTTAGCATAATTTATAATCATATTTTAAAAACAGGGAATAGGAACAAACGAATGCCTTTTGATACAGATAATTTGTTCGAAAAGCTTCCAACAATTGACTAGCATTCAAGAATGTTATAAAAAATGTATATTTATTTTAAATAAATGAATAAATATATTATGTTTTTTTAAAAAAAATCAATTTCTAAATCGATTATGTGATAATCATAGTTACGAATAAAGCAGTTATCCAACCTGAACCGTTAAATGGGTAAACGATTATTATTTACACCAAAACCCAAGTTAAACTGTCAAAATACTTGTCACCTGAACTGAACCGAACCTATAAAAGGGTATGTGAAGTGTTCTCAACCATTAATTTGTTCTTTCCCTTTATAAGATATAATTTCAAGCATAGAATCTTTAAATATTTTAATTGTATATATATATATTATATATATGCTCAATATTATTTTTTAGGAAATATGGATAAAATTTTTAAAAATGTGCTTCACATTCACATTCTCTAAATCTAATATTATGGGAAAATGTTCTAACCGGTTTTTTTTATTAAAGATTTAACCCCAACTTATATTATTATTTCCTACGAATCAAACGTGATGAACTGTTATTTTTATTTGAACCTAAATCTGAACCTAATCCGTATCCGTTATGGTCCGGATTTTTGGAGTACACTTGGGGATTGGTACTCCGATCACTTAAAAGAATCTAAAATGCTATTTTGTTATTATCTTTTTAATGAACATATTTAGCAATTTTTATCAATTTACAATTTATTTTAATATTATCTTGCATATTCCTATATAATTAACAGAATTAATTGATTTGTAAGGATGTTGTTAAACGGCCCCTAGCTACGCCCCTGCTAAAACTTTAATCGAGCCATATTTAAAAATCGACAAAAAGCGGGATTTTTAACAACACTACATGAAATATAGAATAATTACAGATTTTGTTTCATTGTGACTAATATTATAATTTTCTCTTCCACTATAATCTCCAGTGTCACCAAAAAGACTGTTCAGCACATAGCCAAATATGTACCAATTTGGCCGATTTTTAAAAACGGCATTGTTAAGATTTTAGATAAAATATTATTATGTAAACCTGGAGATTTTTGTTCATAAGCGACAGAAAGGTATGGACTTCTATTTGCCAAATTTTTAGGTTATGTAATATTATTTTGTCTAAAATTTGAATAGGGCCATTTTTAAAAATTGACCCAAATCGGGTCGTTTAACAACAATAATGTAAGGTAAGTATAATAAAATTAAAATAACATCAATTTTGATTTTTAGATATTCATTTATATAAAAAATTCACAATTTACACGTTGGAAAATTTTATGATTACCGATTTTAGAGAATATGTAACACGTTTTACGTTTTTATATCACATTATAAAAGCAATTGAAAACTATTAGGATGATTGTGGTAAAGACAAAGAGGGAAAGAGATGTGAATTTATAATTATTTCAAAAAATTTTCCATAAAATTTGAATTTATTAAAAAGAATATATATATTGCTTTGTTTTATCTAATTATACAATTAAATTATACCAATGAGAATATTTTTTTAAACTGCTATGTCACTGTGACTAACCTTTCAATTTCAGTGGGGTCTAGTTTTTAATATTTTTGTTGGAAAATCGATATTTTAGGATACATTAAAAAAAATATATAATGTAATTTATTTTTTACATTAGGTTATTCGACGGAATTAATAAATGATTTAAAACATGACACCAGTGGAAATTTTGAAAAAATATTGATATCCTTACTGACGGTAAATTTAATGAATTGCTTATAATTATGGAAAGTCAAGCATCCGTTTGGCAGTGCCTTCTATCACGGTGCGAGTTACAATAAGTTCATTACAGTCATATGGAAGGGGTTGTATTAATTAATATCATCATTCATAATCATTTAGAGTACACCCTGCCATTTTTGTTTTTTAAATATAAATTTACATACTTCCACCCCCACCCCCCCCCTCTCTGCCCTATCTCTAATTTAAAAAATATTATTTTGAATTTTATAGATACAATTATATATTTAAATTGATGAAAAAAATTTAATGAAAAATTAAACAACAAAGGCATTCACGCCTATAACTTAAAAATATAATAAACATGAAGCTATAGCTGTTAAAACAAGGCTGCGCCATGAGCTAAAGCAGATATATTGTTATATAAGATTTGCAGATTATTTATATAAAATATATATCAGAAAATATGTTTTAATAAAGAAACAATCTAAGAACAAGGTAGTAATTAGTTAAATTTCTATATTGATATCTGTTAGAGTATTCAAAAAAATTGGAAGGAAGCCTAACTGCCTACCCCTGTAAAAAATATATGAACGTAAATTGCACCTATCCACTACCCTAGGTCATGTAGACACTGCAGGCACGTACGCAGGAATTTAGTCTGGGGGGGGGTTATAAATTTTTTTAAGAAATATTATTGTTATTTAAAAATATCAAGCATAAATTTATTAGGACTAATAACTATTTCTAATACACAATTTTAATTTATATGAATTATAAAAAAATTATATATATAAACCGGCACATAAAAAACTATAAAATAAATGTGAATTAAAAAATATAAAGTGAATATCACCATGTGAATCACTTAAATGACCCAAAATAGAAATTTGAATTTTTTGAGCCTTTAAAATTTATATATAAAGTAAAAAAATTTAATGTTGGAAATATAAATATTACAACACAAAAAGTTTCTTAGGAATAATTGTATTTTCTATTATATTTACAATGTAAAATCCAATCTTCGTTGGGATTGAGCTAATTTTTCAATTACTCATCCTTGCTTGGCGCCAAATGCTTATAAATATTTAAAAGATCCAAACCATTCAATCCACTTTCAGAAGTTGTATTTCTTAGGTATGTTTTCAGAGAACTGCAGGCCCAGTTCCCGGGTCGGATCGTATTTTAATTTTTTAAATACACCCGGGCAGGGCCCAAAATCTTTTTAAAAAAAACAGCCGGGCCCCGGGCCTGATTTTTTTTAAAAAAACTTATCCGGGCTTGACTATATATTTTAAAACCAAATATTTGAAATTAGCTATAAAAATCAAAAATAAATATAATTTCTTTAAAAAAAACCCGGGCCGGGCCGAAAAAAAATTTTGAAAAAAAAATCCAGGCCGTGCCCTGCAAATTGTATCTCTGCAGTGCTCTGTTATTCTTCTTAAAAAAGAGAATGTTCTCTCATTAATTTACTAATGGGAAGAGTTGCTAATATATATAATATAAATCTAAAATGTGTTTGAAATTATACAAAGCATCCATAGCATTTTTTGGGACTATATCTTAGTTAATCTTTTAAACATAGTTATTCAGCTAATAAGGCATCAAACAAATATTATTTTTTTTCTATCACCATCTGAAACGATTGGGAAGGCTTTTGTGGAAGTAATATCTGCTGATTGGTAAGTGCTGCATGATGAATTAAAAACCATTCATTTATTTGGATTATAGTTTTATAATACTTTTCTACTGATCTTACACTAATGTTTTGACGATGAGCTTGCCTTGATGCAAATCGAGTGAGACAAATATTAAACACGTATAGATCTCCTTTTGACTCAACGATAACATATAAAATTGAAATTCTTCATCAACATTAGCCCTAATTTCCTTGAGTTCTAATAAAATGCTCCCCGCTATTCTCATCTTCTTAATCAAGTCAATGTCATGTTTTTGAAAAGTATTACATAAAATAGTTGTATAATTAAATAATACATTTTAATGAGAAAAAAAATTGAAATAAGTATTGAATCCAATAATTTTCTAGCTTCTGAGGAAATATTTCTTTCAGGCCATTGTGATATTTCAGTAATAGCATTAATAATCGGTTCTTATAACTCCATAAAAGCTGTTACTGCTTGATGGCGGAGACTCCATCTCGTTGGACAAGCTTGCACTTTCTTTCTCCCTGTTGGACAAAGAGTTTCAGAAAAATTATTATTTGACTAGAAATATGAAAATGGTAGATAAATAATACGCCACTAGAAATTTGAAAATAATAGGTAAATATTACGCCAATGAAAACTTGAAATCGAAATTAATTGATAAATAACTTAATAGCTGAATGTGATAAATAAATGTAATTAAATATATATTTAATATGAGATAGGAATAAATATTAACAAATATAAATTAATATAAACATTAATATTTTTGAAAATCCGGCATCTGCTGGCTTGGGGGGGGGGAGATTTGTCCCCCTGCCCCCCCCCCTCCGCTGCGTACGCCAATGAGACACTGCAATATGTAAAAAAACTAAGAAATATATTAGGAGGGTTGATAAAATACATGTATATATTTCAATAGTTTTAAACAAGCAATATTACCATAATTCCAGAGGGAAATATCAGTAAAATCATAACGATTTCTGCTAACCAATTAGTACTACATAGACCTGTGCGCCTTGCATAAGAAAATCACGCCGGCGCGCCGCCGATTTTCATGTCGATGGCGCACGGCCGGCGCAGAAATTTCTTTCATATTTTATACTTTTTTATTCTAATAATTGGTCAACATCACTCTTGTAATTTTTTAATGTCAATCAGGATTTTGATGAATTTTTATTTTCTTCTATTTTAAAATCATAATTATATTGACTCAATATAGAATTCAATCAATCAAAAATCTGAAAATCTAAGATTCCAAAAGTTACCATACTTTTACATATTTTCAAAATGGATATATCTACATTTAATAATTCTATAAATAATTTTAGTATCCTAACTCTGGATAATAAAAAATCCATAGTCTGGAAATTATTTGCAAAAGAATTAGAGAAATTATTACTGCTCTAAGATATAAAACTGCAGAGGTTGAATTTGAATTCGAGGAATATCAAAGAAAATGTCTAAGTACAATGGATTTAACATCAGACATGTTAGATCTTGACAGCATTGATCCATACCCGGATACCCGTTTTCAAATTGGTAATTAAATGATAATAATTACAATAATTCCACGTATATAAAAACCTTAAAATTAAATGTCCCAAGCCCAACACGTTGGCATAGTATATTAATTATGCTAGAAAGCATATCTGGATTAAATAAGGTAATAATGTTTTGAAAAGAATTGGGAAGCACTTTCTCAAATTATGAATCTGATCTGGTAGAAGAACTATTAGCATTTCTTTCAAAATTTAAAGAAACTGTCGAATTTCTTTCAGTACAAAAAGGGCCTACTTTAAACTTGGCGTTACTTTTTAGAAGTGAAATTGAAACACATTTAATAGTAAATGATAGTGATAGTTCTGAAATTATTTCATTAAGGAAAATACACTAAAAAAACTTGCATTACGATTTCCGGTTTGTAATCTGCAAGTAATATTATATAAGTATATTCTTTTATTTTTTATTTAAAATTATCTAGGTATTGGCTTCTCTTTTAGATCCATGATTTTAAAAATTTATGTCAAATATTTAATATAGCAAAATTGCCCAGCTTCAGAATTTATAATAAAACATCTTAAACTTATAGAAAATGATGATAATCAGGTAGTAAATATAGCTAATGAGGATGAATTATTAAATTCAAGTTATTTGACAAAATTGGCAAATAAACATTCAACAAATATAAATTATGATTCCAAGTTAGGTGACTTAGAACAAGAATGCCACAGTTTTCTTGGAAAAAGACATTCACAAGGTATGGACGTTCTAAAATTTTGGAGAGAAAAGAAGAGTGAACTTACAAATCTTTCCAGGCTCGACAAAAAAATTCTTTGCATTCCGGCGACTAGCACACCTAGTGAAAGAGTTTTCTCTACCGCTGGTTTGACGTTAAATTAAAGGAGATCATCATTATGTCCCGAAAATTTAAATAAAATAATTTTTATACATGATATTATAAAATTACGAAATCGATTTTGGATATAATAAGTTTTCTATTAAATGAATATTAAAAAATATGCCGAGATATCTGTAGAATAGTGTATATTTATTTGTTTTTTAAAAAAAAAATTAATAAGCAATTAAGAAAATTTATGTTATAAAAATTTATAACTGCGCTGATTTACGCCGATTTTATTGAAGGCGGCTAAAAATCGGCGCGCCACCAGCCGTCGATTAGATTTTTGAAAATTGCGCGGCCGCCGATAGTTTCGTGGGAGGACAGGTCTAGTACTACAAGATAATATTCATTGTGATTTTAACTTTTTAAAGCTACAAAATGGGTATGTTGCCTTCGACTTATGAGCTATGCAACAAGCGGAAACTATGTTAATGTGACTCAAGCAGACTTTTTATTTTGCTCATATGAAAAATTTTTTTATAAAAAAATGATATATTAAAAAGCTCTGTTCCTTTGTAAATTTATATATAGCAATAGCCAAATCCAATTATGTCATTTGCATATATAAATTTTTTATAATATACATATATATATTTCGTGTCTAGTGGTACTAAATGTGAAGAGAATACCGAAAATTTAACTAACCATTCTTTTATTTTACCTTACCATTTACTGTATAGTGTATAATTTATCTGGCTTTCCAAATTTATCTTGTATAAATACCAATTAACCATCCAATCGATAAGATAAAATTAATGAAACTAGACCACATCTCTTTAAAATATTTAAAAGTATGCATAATGGAAGGGGGGGGGTACATTATGTGATAGGAATTTAGGACGGGAGACAGGCGTGAACCCTTTCTGCCTCAGGATTTTTGGGATGCATCCCGCCCAAATTATTCATCTTTGGGCCGCATCTTACAAAAAAGTAAAGATGGAACGGGTGTTTGACTTTCATAATATAAAATTATAGTGATAGTTTATTTAAAATTTATGTTATATAAAATTTATTTTATATCAAGCGCTAATTAGTCAAAAGTATTTTTTTTCAAATATTAAGTATTATTATACTATCAAATTTGAAAGCTAAGATTTAAAAATCAGCTTATAATTTTATTTTGATTTGACTAATATAAAATACTTCTAAAGATTGATCGCAAACAGGCTCATGAAGAGGATCGACAAAAAGTCATAGTTGATGCTAAAGTAAATTATTCAATATTATGTAAGAAATTTTAGATTTTCGAGAGACTATTTTTCTAAAACTGAGTTATGAGTAATATAAAATGAAATTAACTAAAGCCTTTCATTTAGAGTAAAGTGTTATAAAATCAGGGCCGTAGCCACGGGATAAGCTAAGGGGGGGGGAGGGGAGTGGCAGGCCCCTCCATAAATTTTGCCACCAAATCTAGTCCCTTGAAAAAATGTTTGGCCCCCAAATTTTAAAAAAATTATTTCGTTATTAAATTTTAATTCACAATTAAATCTAAATGAAAATACAGCAAAATATTTTTAACAAGATTATTTATTTAATTACGCAAATTAATAATCAATTTTGCCTAATTCTACCTAGAGAACTCAATGATCTATATATACTACTAGATACTTGGGAGTAAGATGTAGCGCCATTTTGTGGTTTGCACTTCGACTAATTGTCTTTATTAATCATTATATGAATCCCAATATCATTTAATCAACCTGCAAAAAATTGCGCTACAGTTGAATCCTATGTATGGCCACTTTTAAATGCATTTTTTGATGTACTATTACGAGTTTTTTTATAGTATTATTCTATATTTTGGTAAAAAAAAATAATATAATCTTTTTTAAATTTTGCAATCGTTGGCATCCCACAGGGCATAATATTTGAGATGCTATTATAGTTAGGGCTAAAAAATTTTAAGATAAAAATATATAGCTAGCGAGTTAATAAATAGCTCGTATTTTATTTATGCTAGAATATATATAGTGTATATTTCATTTTATCTCTAAATTAAAATAATTAATGTCCATAGTATAATAAACGATTCATGGGCGATTTGTACTTGTAATATATTTTTTATAAGAAATAGAATTGTGTATACTAAAATTTATTTGTATTAAGTTATATGTTTGTTTTGATAAAGTAAACTATAATATTAATTTCAGATTTACTTTAAAAATTTCTAGGAGATATTAACGAGATTCCAAATTTTTACTATCCTATTTTGAAATTCCAAAATATTGGTCAGAAAGAATTAATGAATGAATGTATCTAGTCTTTCTTACATACATTTGATTTGAAAAATTTAAAAATATCGTATATCATTAAATTATTTTTCTAGCTTCCAATATATATTTAATTTTTTAATTTAAATTTTATATATTGGGAAAAATATAGAGTTTTATTGTGATTTATTGTTATCACAATTTTCTTGGTAATAATTTTTTCCTCAATAAATTATCACATGCCGATTATATTTCAATTAAAATTAAATCATTGGCTTCTAATTTTTTTTAAAATTATAACTCGTAACACTCAAACTCCAACATTAATTATATATCTAATAATAACAATATTAAATGGATTTTAAATCTTGGGGAGATGTACTATAAATGACAATGTTTTGGCTTTTATCAAAGAAAGGCATTAAGATTTGGGTTTAACCAAACAAATCATGTGTAACCTAATTTATCTTTAAAATTTGAATCAAAGCTCTATCTATAATAGTTCAAGGTGATGCTAAAAGTTGTTTTTCTGACGAGTCAAAACATGATATGTATTGACTAGTCAACTATGTTAACTGGCCATAATGAATTATTTAAGAATTTTACTAAATATGAAAATATTATAATATGAAATACTTGTTAAAGACCTATATTAATATTTCTTCATTTTTTAGGTATATAAAAAATTAATTATACACTAAGTTAATTAGTATTAACATCTCAATTTACCATAATATATTTACTGATAATATTATAAATTAAAAATTATCTTTGTTTAAGTTAGTTCATCATAAGAAATTTCACCAAATATTGTTTTGCACAAACTTTTCATTTCAATGTGAATATATGAATTGTGGCCAGTTAATACATAGTCAGACAAAACTCACCAGTCTATTATTATTCAGTGCCTTTATATGTCTATTAAATAAAACTTGTAAGCTCTAATATTTTGTGTGAATAATGCTAAATGCCTAAGGATAATATTAATATAAAATATCCTAAATTAGTAATTTTTTCACCAAAAGGGTGTGGTCAGTCGTCAAACATGGCCATTTATGGCACATATCTTCCATATAAATACGTTAAAAAATCGATGCCCTTTTCATTTACCATGATTTTTCTCACAATCTTGTTGCAGTTGGCTGCAAGCTTGAATTGAAATTGTATATAGAAGTTGATTATATTATTATCGATGTTAACTAACACTCGCGATTAGAATTATTATTATTATTGGAATCTAAATAAGAAAGAAATAAATATATATAAATTATGATAACCCAATATATAATATAATCAAGAATAAAAAACTTTACGACTATATTTTATTCGATCCGGAATCCAAATTATATTTTAAAAAATTAATAATCATTTGTGTCCCGAATCTCACTTTTAACGCGATATATATATCATAATTGTTTTACAATTAATTTGAATATATGAAAATTTATAAAATAATATTATGTTAAATTTAAGATCATTTACATAACAAAATTACCCAAAAAATATTATCTTCGTCTACAATTTATTTATGAATAATAACTTCCAAAATTAACATTCTAATTTGCATATACAACAAAACTTATCTTTCAATAAAGGTTTAAATATAAAAAAATTAAAATTTCTATATTCTTTACTTTAAATATTAATTTGTGGTTTGATATTGAACAGAAAATACCGACTTATAATATAAATCAATAAATTTTTGATCCCAAGAATTTTTATCGATGGCCAGTATGAGTGAATATTAATTACCGGAGATGGTAGATTATTTTACTCCCTCATTCATTTGGGCCGGCTTGTAAAATATTAAGAATCGCAAAAATCACGCTTATTAATGAACGAAGAATGTTTTATTTCTTTTTTTTTTAAAATAGTAATATAAAAAATAATATTGAAATTTGTTATTGAAAATCGATATTTTTTAAGAAAAAAAAGGTGGAAAAACACTCAGGGGTGCAAGATTTAGAGGGTGTACATAAGGGAAATATACCATTCGAATACACGTGGAACCAACTTTAATATTGAAACATTTTGAAACCGAAAATACAACTAGTTTTGGTAATATATAATGCTATAAAAAAAACTCGTAAATATTAAAGTGCATCGAAATAATGTATAATATATAGCACTAGATTGACGATTCATGCATTAAGTGCATTTAAAAATGGTGATACATAGTAATCAACTGTAGAGCCATTTTGTGGTTTGCACGTCGATTAAATCACATTAATGGGCATACATATAATGATTAATAAGGACAATTAATCGATGTGCAAGCCACAAAATGGCGCTAGAGCTGACTCCCAAGTATGGAAATTTTAATTAATGAATCGCCAATCTAGTAGTATATATAATAAACATTCAAAAATAATAATTTTTTTTAGATTTATGCTATATCCTAAATATAACAAACAGAAATAAATTAATTAAAAAAAATAACATTAATGTAAAAATAAATTTTCTAAATAATTTTTAGAAAAAAATAACATAAGATATTTTTAATGTAAAAATAAATTTTATAAATAATTTTTAGAAAAAAAAATCATTTTTTTTGTAAATGACGAAAATTGATTTAGAGCACTATTTTATTTCATTAAAAATTCAAAAATATATGTTTTAGGACATCACAGCTAAAAATCTTTCGCTGGCTGTAACCCTAGCTAAATTAGCAAGCATAGGAAGTTCCAGTCGCTTTTTCTTAAAAAAGTTAGTGCATCCCCTTCTGGTATACTATGTTGGCTGAGCAAAATATGTCATTCTTGGTCTCTATTGATAATGTTGTTATGATCGTTGCATGGAAGGGAATGTTTACGAGATATTTTAGCTATATAAGAACTGAATTTTTGCCTATTATTTTCAACTTGAACATTCTGTGCATTTCTATCATGCTTTAAAAGTTTTAAATGTCTAATTAAAAATTTCAATGATGTCGTAGATTTCGAATTTAAATATTCTGAAACAATTTTAAGATCTTGAAATATCTGGGATCAAATAGAGTCGCTAATATCTAATGTTTAAAATATAGTATTATAATAAAAATATAAAATAACTTGAAGTTCAGTAATGGAAAACCTATGGTCAAGCTTTTTTTTCATATTTTTTTTTAAGCAAATAATATTTGAGCAATCAGATCTATTGCTTTATAAATGGGTTTCTATTTCACTGCGAAATAATAACCCTAAGTTTATTGTCGATCCCTTTTGGGAGGAAAGATCCACCTACTATCGGAATGGATTTAATACTGCGTAAAGCTCATATTCCATTCATTAATAAAGAGTTTTAAAGATTGTTCTCTATTTTATGTAGAACATAGGAATTTTGTTTACACTGCGAACACTTGCCAGCATAGTTAATATGCTGTGCCAGCGGGTAGGACAATTTAATTTTAAAGTTTTTGTATTAATTAGATTGGTTGGTGCAATGCCATTTCTATTATCCGAAACATTTTTTATGCCATCAACTGTAACCAAATTATGAAGTCCATGCCTTAAGCGTAAATGATGCTCATAATCCCCCAATCTGTCGCTTCTTTTGACATTGGCCCCAGCATCAGTTGCCATTTGTATTATTTTGACTTATAAATGGAACTCCTCTTCAACATTATCAATCTCAAATAATATGGTTTCCCCATTATGCTTTTGAGTTACATTTCTAGTTGCCAGGGTAAAATATTTTAAATCAAAATTTTCATCTAAATGATGAAGAATAAATGTGATATAATTTCGACGCTTGAAATGATCGGTCAATAAATCAAAAGTGATAGAACAGAATTTTGGTCCAGAATCAGTCATATTTAAAACATGTGCCTTTATAGATATATAAGCATCATCTAGCGCACCCCGACTAATGTTTGTCCTATTAGGCAATTCTGACGAGGAATCAAATATCTTATATTTCTATTTTTTTAGTCAATTTATTTTTTAATAATCATTTTATTTAAATTTTAAACCTTTAGAAAATCTGTCATCCCTTTATTGTTTATAGAATCAAATGGCATTAAATCTAAGCAGCACATAAAAAGATAATTTCACCCTATTAGATTTCATATTTAATTTATACATTAAAAAGATATTTAAAAAACATCAAAATAATTAGGGCTGCAATGAAACAAATAAGAAATTTAATTTAGTTTTGAACTTTCAAAATATAGTTTTACATAATTAATAATAAATTGTATATTAAATTTAGGCATTAAAAAGATCTCAAAATAGAGCTGACAATAAAAATTAAAAATTTAATTGTTTTGAACTTTTAAATAAAAGCTTAATAATTTAATTTAACATACCAGTTAAAAATCTAAAATGAATAATAATAAACAATACTAACCTAAGAGCCATTTTTTTTTATCTTTTATATTGTTGCTACATCTTGGAGTTGACTTTAAAAACATTTTTAGACTTTGTATTAATTTTTTCTGATATTTTATGAATATTAACTCAGTGCCGAGAAAGGTTAATTGTAGTTATATTTTTACTAAAACATTTAATTTCATTACTAAAATATAAATTATATATAAATATAAGTCTAAAATTAAAATAAATTACTATGAAAATAGATTATGTTTATCCGAATCTTCCACATCTTTTTTCCTCCAATTGTAAGCAAGGTTCACAATAAATATTCAGGCATTATTGTGCTTTTCAATCATTCTACAAAATAAGATTTCCAAAAGTACCTTCAGACATAACTTGATTATGATTAGTAGAGAGAGTTGTTATTTCAATTGTATATAGGGTGGTTTAAAACGTGCAAGTCCATAAAAATAATCAATATGTATTGTTTGTGGAAATGAAATACGCTGTATGAATGAACGTAAATGATATACACTATTATCTTATATATAGCAATAGAATACAATTCATATGTTAATTTTATTAATGTTAATATTCAAATTTAAATATTGATAATTTAATATATAAATATAATTAAACAGCATTCTAAAAATTATACACGCCGAACCGCCGCCATATAAAAAATTGGCAGCGAACCATATCGCGCCGATCATCTCAATCGGCGGCTGTTCCGGCGTGAATAAAATTACCGGCATCGCCGGCATGAGCAACGGCGCACAGGTCTAATTAATATTAAGAAAGTAAAAACCTACTTATGATTGGAAATATAATACATAAATATCCGAGCACTTATAGATAGCCTAACGATATTTAGTAATATATAATTTATTATGTGGTTAGCCGCGCAATATTTCCTAGCCGGACCTTATTTTCAGTTTTATAACTTCTGAAACTTTTACTGTAGAAAATGAACCTATTACCAAATTTTTTGTTCCAAAGATTCAATATTAAATAATCTTCAAAATTTACTTTTTCCTATAGACTTAGGGGCGAAAAAAAATAAATTTATTTTATCCAATGGTGATCCCAAAATAAAATAGAAATTAATATATGCAATAATACTGATTTCTGGTGTAATTGAGGTGTATCTTGAAAAAAATTGAACTGAAATAAAAATTAACCATTTTCAATAATCACAGTTTCATGATAATATTAAAATTTTAATAGGTGAAAAAAATAAAATGAAAGTATAGGCCGGATCACAATTTACATACGTTATATCTAACTGAATTTATTCATAACTTTCATATTTTAAACATATATTAAAAAATTCAAATAAAGTGGCTTTTTAAAATTTATGACATCTTTTGTCAAGAGAGTCGACAAATTATATAAAAAACTAGTGAATAAAATTGATGATGTATAATGATTATTTAAGGTTAAAATATTAGTACATAGATGGGGAAAAATCTACACGGATGACCAGATGTGGTTTATGCGGACCACAAGCTCCAAAAAACCATTATAATCCATGAACGCCCCAGACAAAATTAAAATTAATTTTATATTTATATACTTTACCTAAAAAAAGCTACTAAAAGATTCAAACAAAAATATTGAAAGAATTTTGTTAAATATAATTGCTTTAAATTAATTTAATTCTGAGATAGTTTTTTTAATTTTGGGTTCGCATAAATCCCATCTTGTCTCCCAAGTTTTTTTCCATCTGGACTTTGAAGGGCTAGAGTAGAATTCTTATATAAAAAAAATTACATAGATTGAATAAACACTATTTATAGTTTTAATTCCAAAAATTGTTTGAACACTTTTAATAATAAGGCATTAGCCAAAGAAAGTTCTGAGAAGCTACTCTTCTTCAATAAAGCTATCTTTATAGAAATTTTGACATCTCGAGACTTGAATCACTTAAAAAACGTTTTCGCAGAATACGAAAGGATAACTAAGTTGAATATCGAGGATGTCATAAGAAAGGAAATGCACGGAGATTCGGAACATGCTTTAACAGCATTGGGTTAAAAAAATTATATCCAAAATAATATATAAGCGAAATCTTTCAAATTCCCTATTACGAAACTAAGATTAAAATTAAGAATTATGCACAAATTTTTATCAGTTGATTTAAATTGATATAGGGGAGACCGGTGTTTGGCAAACCACTGTTTTAAGATCTTTAAATTATACTTTTTATAAAAGTAGTGATTTGTTTAAAAAAATCCAATCATTGGGCTTTCTAAAATGTAATTTTTAGCTCGCTTGATATTTATAGAATACATTTAATATTCTTGTTAAAACTATAACTAAAATATGGTCAAAATTATATAAAAATTAAAACATAATTTTTGATCATTTTAAATACCTTAGAACATATATATGGTTTTGATTATTCATTTTTTGTGATATCTCAAAATTTGATAAAGGTAATCCACAGAAACCAAAGATAATTTATAAATTAGTAAAAGAAATTATGATGCATTAATGGGTCAAAGTACCCTGGTTTTGCAAGCCTCACTAGCATCCTTACTAATTAAGATTAAAATAAATTCTAAACACCAAAAATGTTAGTAAACTTACGTTTTGGTTTTCCCATTTTATGACTCTATTTAAGTAGATAAAGGAGGGAGCAGGGGGGATTCAAATTTTGCTATAAAAGTTAAATTATATCATAATATTTTTTAAATTTAATATAGATTATAATTTTGTCTTGCATATTTACAAATTTGACATCTAAATTTTAATTGTAAATTATTTCAAAATATTTTTGACACATAGTTTCACATTACTTAAATCTATATTAGGACAAAATTTATCCCAGCGCCTCTAATTTGAAAATGAGATCAAGTAGTTTGCCATTCCCCACGGTTACACTAACCCCGGCCTTCCATACACGTTATTTTTTTGTATTTAATAAGGGGTTCGTTATTTAGATTTTGATAGCAATTAGCAAACGATATATTTTAAATAATATAGCCAAGGCGTCATTTAATTATCTCTTCAGAATAAGGTTCTAAACACACCTCTCTCAATCTTACAGGAGAGTAATTTAATATCACATTAAAAACATTGTTTAAAATAAATAATAGAGTAAAGCAGGTGAACGGTGCCCCTAAGGAAACGATTTTGACTCCAATTCAATTTCGAATTAGAACTTTGTATATTAACCTATCATATAAATAGAATAAAAATTGCAATATTACCATCGTTATAATGAAGAAACAATAAGAATAAATTATTAATAATATACTATTATGTTTTAGTGGAATGCATTCGTTACCCTTCTTCATTTTTCGCCAAAAGGATTAATCACACTTTAGAAGTAATAAAAATAATAAACTACAGTATACATTTTCATATAATCTTGTTTATTTAAAAATAAATCTGTTCCTCCCGCGGTTATTTAAAACCATTCAGATTTTTAAATTAGAGGATTCTGATTTTACTAGAATTTCAGTTTTTTCTATGAAATTTTGAACTAATCTTAATTTATAATAGTTTTTATAAAATAGATCTTTCATATAAATTTAAAAAATTAAATAATTATATGCCCCTCACGTGTAAAATTAAAGGGGTAGGTTTTATTTGTATCTCATAAATGGTTTAAAATTGAGATTCTGAATTATCACTGTCAGATTATTATGTAATTCAGATAAACCTACCATAGATACAAGTAATATTTTTATATTTTGCACAAAAATATTCCCTTAAATTGTAAAAGAAAAAACAATGTGCATAAGTGAACTCCAAAAATAATAATTTGTGATGGAATATAATAGAGATATGCAAAGTTAGGCCCGGCCCGTAACCGGCCCGGGTTCGGGCCTAATATTTTTTAAAAATTCGAGCCGGGTCGGACCTTAGAATTTTTTTTAAATATATCTAAATTTATTAATTTTATATTGAATTTTTTATGTAAAATAAAAATATTTGATTTTATTTATTGAAACTAAACGATAAATAACATGTCATTATTTTGAGTAATTATAAAAATTAATTTTTATATTTAAATAAATTCGGGCTGGGCCGGGTCGGTAAATTAAAAAAAATTCGAGTTCGGACCGGGCCGGCAAAACATTTTTAAAAAAAATTAGGCCCGATGCAGATCACTAATAAATATATAATATTTTATCCGTCAAAATTATTTTTGATCTTTAGGGATAAGTTATTCTATCTTTTCTATTATTTTGTCAAAGCTTTTTCTACTTTGTCTAAGTTTTTATTGAGCTATAAGCGTTTTAGTGTTATATTCCAAATCCCTCTCGCCTTTAATGAAATCAGAATAATATACAATATAAAAATTAAGATATAATTACCTCACCTGAATAACATAACCGTGTAATACATTTCCTTAAAATATTGAATAATGATGTTTTAATTAAATTCAACATATGATATGAAAAAAAATTATTAATTACCTTGTATTTAATTTATATTCTATATATCATGTATAGGGGAGACCCGGTTAGATGAACTTTTTGTTCAGATTTCATAATCTCAAACTAATATGGATAAATATAACACAATTTGAACTCTCAAAATATAGGCTATTTGAAATAGTTTATATAGATTTTATATAAAATCTTTACTTTTTTAAAAAATTGAATTTTAAAAATATAATTTTAGACCACTTAATCCTATTCTAGGTACGTTAGTCCAATAGTCATAGTTGGTCCACCAAAGAAATAAAGGTCCAAATATTAAATTTTTTTATATAATATTGTAATAACTTAAGTATATAATTTACTGATAATATAATAATATGCAATAATTAAGTAAATTAAATTTGGGAATTTTCAGAAATATACTTTTTAAAAAAAAATTAAAATGAAAAATTACTTATTTAATAATATAAATTGTTAAATTACTTAATAAAATTTAGTATTTTAAATTGATAAATATTCATTTAAAACTATTTGCATCTGTTTATATCTATATAAAATATAAATATGCAATAATTAATAAGACACACGTACCTCGTCCTACCAATTAACATGCCCTCTAATTTTATAAATCATATTAATGTTTAATAATTCTAATGGTCAGATTAAAAAATATGGTCTAAAATTTTTTAAAATAAATTTATTTGTTTTAAGATTTATTTATAAATCTAAATAATAAAGTTAGCAATTATATTTTGTTACTATTGGTATGCTAAAACGCATTTTCCTCCCTTAAAATATAATGTTAAATATTTTTTATATCTTTCCCAATGATGTATGACATAATTAACTATGCAAGGTTTAAATTTCCACTCATACAAATATCGTTTAGATTGTAAATGAAGTGGACTGACGTTACCCTGCTGTACCAAGTGTGCCCCGGTTTCTATATTGTGTATAAATTTATATTAGGGTATGGGAACTCAGGAAGATGAATTGATATACATTATTGTATCGAGGTCTGAGAGAGATTTGGGGAGGATCAAACAAGAATACGAAAGGATCTATGACAAGTCTTTGGAGCAATGCATTAAAGTAGAATGAAATATATTTATGTACATTTGATATTCTTTTTATAGGAAAGTTGGTAGACCAACATATTTTTCCCTTAGATATTTTCGAGCTATTAACATTAAAATTACATGCTATTCAAACACATTTAAATCGATTTTGATAATATGAATCAATCTATAAAAAACAATTTTATAATAAAAGTATTCAAAAAAATTCCCCTGAAAAAAATCTATGAAAAAATAAACCAGGGGAAAATCCGAAAAATTAATTAACAAATATGAATCTAAATTTTTCCATTTTATATTCACAAAGAATACCAGCACACATCAGGATTTTATAGTCTCAAACTCATTTCGGTAAAATCATATAACCTAAGGCTGCTTCGTAGCCTTACATTATTAGTTTGATTTTCCCTAGACTGAACTTTTAATTTCAATATAAAATTTAGCAAAGCCTTCTACTAACACTCCAAAAAATCAAACGATAATTTTGCATATATAAAATTAAAAGAAGATCTTATACTGATTTAATTATGCCATGAGGAAAGAAATTGTAATGAACCAAGTGTGATTTCTGAAATCCCTAGAAAAAATAATATTCATGCTTTTAAGTGAGCTTTAAAGCGACTTCAAGATACGGCATTCATATTCTGAAAACAAAAACCCCGATCTAATTCAACAATATTTTCAAGTTTGGAACGAATGAAAGACTTTCGTTTATAAAAAAAGGCTATTTTGGATGATCTTTTGACAAAGCTTAAATAAATATTCGTGGAGCATGGCGTAGAAGATGAGTTTTAGGAGTTATAAAAAAATAAAAGATCGACCCAAAATATGTTACCCGTAAATTGTATGTTTATTTGATAATTCTATAAACATGAAAAACTGTCATTAAACGGAGAAGAATAAGAAGATAATTCTATAATTAAAGTATTTCACTATAATTTAGGATTAGGTATAAAAAAATTAAAAAAGGAGATAGGGTTATAGTCTAACAAAATAGGATAGGAGAACCCATATTGTTGTTTTTGAAAAAAAATTGATGTCGAATTTTAGCAATTAATTTATCTCTTTTTAGAAACGATTCAATCAAATTCGAAAAAAAATTGAGGATATTTAATTCAATATATTCTTTTAATAAAATTTAAAAAAAATGAGTGACGTAATTTAGAGTTATAAAGATTTAAAAGGCAGTGTTTTAATTGCCGCTATATGAATATTAGTAATCTAACTATATGCATTTCATATAGTGTAACTCTTACCCACATCAGGTCTTCGCTCATGGCTAGTTTCGGTCAAATAAATCAGTTAGGTTGCGAGTTTACTAACGGAAAACTTTTATAAAATTTTTAAAATATATAATATATATTTATTAAAAAATTTTTAATCTTAGTCATGTCAGATATCTAGACCACATCGATGTTTATTCTTAGTTTTTTTCCCCTAGATATTTTTTTCATGAGTTATATTCTGTTTTTTCACAATTACTATTCCAAAGATGAGCTAACTAATAATGTGCAAGTTTTTATTTAATGTGTGCATGTTATCACATCATTAAAAAAAAAATACAGAAAAAATAGATTCAATGAATAAATATTCCAGAACCAAAAAATCTGCGATTGCTAGTGTTAGATATATTTTACTGAAACTAGGTATGAACTAGAGGTCTACATTGGGCGGGTAAAAAAATTTTTGAAACTATAGGTGGGCGGGTGGGTGAGAGGGTTAAGAAATTAAAATTTTTTGTTCAAAAGCAAACTAAAGAAAATCATAATTAATTAAATGATCAATAACAATATTTCTTTTTTTATTGTACCAATCGTTTTTTTAAGTGAAGAACACTTTACTAGTTTTTCGACATCTTTATCTAATTTTTCCCACCATATATAATGTTTCGTAATGGATTTCATTGTTGTAATACCCGGATGTTAAAAAAGATTTACCAAAGCTATCAAAATTAGCAAGAAAAATATTGGCGATTCCTGCAATTAATGCTTCTTCTGAACGAGGATTTAGCATTGCTGGAAGGTTTTTAGAACAAAGAAGAACGTGTTTGAATCCAGAAAATGTCGATTCATTATTATCTTTGAATCATAATTACATATAATATCAATTTTATATTTATTTCATAAATATTCTATTTGATCAAATAAATGTTCATAATTTAAATTGAATATTTTTTTATGCTTAAATTAATTTCCTAAATTATAAACTTTTTGTAGAGGTATAATGCTGAATTTTTTTTTATTAGATGTTTAAAAAATTGAAAGAATGGACATAATTAAATTTTATAATAGCGGGCTTGGGTTAAATTTATTTTAATAATAATGGGTAGGCGGGTAAAAATTTTAGACTAATGGGGAGCGGGCGGGTGGGTAAGAATTTATACAAATGGGCGGGCGGGTATATTTTATTCGAGAACTATGGGCGAGCTGGTTAAATTTTTTTTAAAACATTGGGTGGGTGGGTTTTTGTCTAGTATGAACTAAGGTGTGATCGGCTAGATTTAGTATATATATAAGATGACTATTGTTCAATAAAAATTATCGAACACGTATGGCTACCTAGTTGTAAAAAAATATTGATTTAGCTAAAACTTTGAGCTAATATGTGATCTAGATTAAGGTTAATATTTCTTTTATTCAACGCCACCTGGTATGAACTAAGGCCTGATGTGGTATAGGTTAGTGTATATACGAGATCTTAGCCCGTCGTTAAAATAAATTAGATAAATTATTAAACGGATAATTTGGAAATTCAAGCTAGAAAGATTTTATTTAAATATGTATGAGACTATGGCGTGTTACATCTACTAGGTTTTAGTATTAAACAGTGGCGTAGCTACGGGGGTGGTTTTCGGGTTTGACCCCTCCCAGAGCAAATTTTTTTTAGATTATACGTTCAAAAGACTTAAAAGTGACTTTGTATCAAATAAATACCATTAATATTTATATTTTTCTGGTTTTGATGTTTGTGAAAGGATATTATATTACTATTGAATTTATTCTGGGTAGTATTATTATAAAGTCATTGAGAATAATCTACTAAATTATAATAACATTATTCATGCATTTAAAAATATTTATATATATTGTCGAAGATGTGGTTACGATTTTTAAGATAAACCTGGCCGAAGGCCGGGCAAAAGGCCAAAGGCCCGTTAAAGGGAGTCTGGGGGCGAAGCCCCCAGGATTTTATATGTATGGACCCCCTCTAAGGAAAATTCCTAGCTACGCCACTGGTATTAAAGCTATATATGAGGTAAGATCTGATGTGAGCCAGGTTTAATCTATATGAGATGATTCGGATATATAAATATTCATGAATACATTTTTCGGTTTAATACATAATCCAGGAGTGCTTAAATATAAAAAATAAATATAAACATGCTCAAAATATATTGCTTAATTAAAAAATATTTTAGACGAGTACACTAAAAATAGAATTTACCAAGCCATGTCACTGCATTTTATTAAATATATTTTTTAAACAGTAATGCATTTTTAATATCATTTATATAAATAAATTAAATTTTAATATTTTATAAATTTAATATTGTTATAACCAAATATATACAATGAAAAAAAATATAAGAGTGATACGTCAGGAGATTTCGAAGATGCATTGCTTTTGATCATTAAGGGAAATTGCTAGATTACTCTAATTTTAGACATAGGATCACATATAGAAGAACAGCTCAAATTCAATATTTATATATTTTTTTTAAAAAATCTCACATTATATCCAGTCAATTTTTAAAATTTTTTTAGCCATCATGATCATTGTTAATTTTCATAAATTATATATATTTTAAAACAATTTTTTCTTAAATAAATGTATGTTTGCAAAAGATAATTTATTGTTTAAATTTAAAAAAATTTGTATTAATGTTATTAAAAGGATTATTCATTATTAATAACGTAATCATCATAATTAAGTGGAATACATTTAAAGGATCCTTGGGTTTACCATTTTCCTCTTGATAATTTGTCTCGCCTAGTTAAACGGCTAAACATTTTCCATTTGAGGTTGAGTAAATTTAAATCACCTTCCACAATGACTTTCTATTTTTTTCTTGGCCTTTATCTAAGTTTGGCTCCTTAAACATTTTCTTTGTGCAAGTCTTAACCCAATCATTTGTTCTTAAAAACCATCTATTTATTAATATAGTGGTGATTTGCTCCTCTTGAAAATATTTCTTAAAGATGCTAATCTTGAGAAATATCATATTATCGTCTTCATTAGTAATGTTTCCATGTCAAGATTACACTGACGTCTTTCATGTAATATTTCTCCCTTTAGAGTCCAAGTAAATTTTCTTGAAGGTTAGAATATGCTAAAATTAACATTTCTTTTATAGGTCTATCCGGTATTTTCGTAGGGGGGGGGGAGGTTTGGTTTGCCATAAATTTTATTCGATAGTTTTGAGCTCATTCTTAAAAGCCTTTGTCCGAATTTCCTTTTTAACCTTTCATAGCCGAAGTAGACAAAATAACGCGAGTGTAGATTAATTAACATCAAATTAAATATGCCATATCTCATAATCGGTTATTTGTAACCGCGCAAATGCATTATCGAAAAAATTTATTTGCGCGAATATATTACAGCAAAATTATTATAAATGCCTTAATGCAAATGTATAAACGTGAAAGCAGTATCGTGAATACATTAAAGCGAATGTATTAACGTGAAAAATCGCGAATATATTACAGAGAATGTATTACCGAGAAAGCATTATCGAAAATATATTACGATTGTTTTACCGCGAATGCATTATACCAAAAATTTTAGAGCAAATGCATTAGCATGAATGCCTTATACGAATGCATAATTGCCAATACATTACCTAAGTTGAAATAATGGGTATGCAGTTTATTGAAAATTATATTTTTTTATTTATCGGCCTTTAGATAGACTTGGTAAATCTGAGAATGAGCCTATACTCGGGCTTGGATATAAAATCTCTTTTTTTTTACTCAAAAATAAAAAAAATTCCAAGCAATAAAATAGAATGTTTTCTCTAGGATTAGGATAAAGGAATTAAATTTTTATATTATTGAATTCTTTTAATAAGCTTAATTATATTTTTTTATTAAAAAACATGACAAGCTCAGACGCCTAAAATAAAAATTTGGCTGGGCTCGGACAAAAATATATTAAATTTTCAAGGCATTAAGAACAAGTCTTATTTAAAATATTAAGCCAAACAGGTAATTGGTTCTCGGAAATAATTTTTATCATTTTTTGAAAAAACGTGCTTTAGGTAGGTTGTTGAATTGAATGGCGTCCCGTCTCAAGAGCTTAATTCATGTAATCTCTGGTGATAAAATTTCTATTATTGTGACTCAAGAATTGGGAAAAAAATTTATCATATTGTTTTTAATATGAAATTTGAAAATAAAATGATGATATAATTAAAAAAATAATAAAATTTAAATCACATTGTATCAACACCCCAGGAGGTTCAATTGTGAAAAACTTCAGCTATCCAATTCCATGGTCGGATGTTCAAATTCAAGTCAGCGCAATTTTATTTTTCGAAAATATTTTTTCCATCTGATTATTTCCCTAATACAGGGTGTATACATCCTCGGTATAGTTGGTAAAGCTTCATTTTTAGCCGCTTTCAAAAATTGCCAAACTGAGTTTTTAGCCAAGAACTATTACCTCAGCCTAAGAAAAAGTTTATTAATATTTTTATTCGATAATTAATCTTTTATATATAATAAATTTTTCATAGGAAAAAATATAATATTAAAAATCTTTTACAAAACTATATCCGTAATTGAAATGATTAAATATCATAAAGGGGTCTATTTTCATATATATTTTCAATGGTTTGTATCTTGAAGTTTGCCAAATATTGGTTGCATACCATATCAGCATTATCTAAAGTTTTAAAGTTATATGTAAAAAAATTGTATAATTTATAATATGTATAAACATTATAAAGATAAATGAGAATCGGATCGAGCGTTTCATTCAATGATAATTTTCAAATCGTTTATACATATGGTACAATCAGTACACAGACAAAATAAAAAACATAGGCTGAATATTTAAGAATCTATATGCCCCGTTAAAATGTGGACCAGATGAGCTGTTTAAAAAAAATACTGCTGCTAGCCTGGCCCAAAATTAATATTTAGAGAAGGAAAAATATTTAATAACCTGAATCTTTATCTAAAGGATTATTCGACTCTTTGTTGAGAAAATTTATCAAAAAATTGATATTTTCTAGTAAATCGGTGGTAAGAGCGTTAATTTTCGCACATTTGGTTGAGGTTGTTGATTCTTCCTATTTAAAAAAATTGATTTTTTTATATTAAAAAAAAACCATTTATTTTATAAAATAAATAGATTGCTTTTTTTAATCAAGTTTTAGAAACAAGAATATTTTAAATTGTGAACATAAATATAATTCAATTTATCCTCAAGTAATAGTATATACTTGTCAAATTTGAAAGTTTTACCAAAAAAGTGAAATTAGGAGAAATTGGTGTTGGTCACCAATTAAAACTTATTAAAATAAAGTAAAACTGCAATAAAGAAATTTAGTCAAAATCGAAATATCAACTGAATTTAATATTTTAATTACAAATTTATCTTTTTCTATAAAAAAAATTGTTTCAAGTTACTTTCTAATCCATAATAAAAATAGATAATTAAAAACCATTAAACGGATCTTGATAGTAACTAATGGATGCCTGAGCCCAGGTTGACCCCAACGAAAGTGTTTGGCGGATTTAAATCGGATAGTTCCGTATCTTAACTTGCGGTGAGGTAATTTAACATTGTCAGTTGGTGAAAACATATCTGATTTGAATTTGTAAATTATAGCTTTCAATTAACTGTAAATTTGGTTAATTAGCTAGTAGTTAAAATAAATATAATAATTATCAACTATTTATATTAAGAGACTTTCTATTTCTACATATACTTTTATAATCTTCCTCAAAAAACGAAATTTAGAATTCTTAAGAATTATGGAATTATGTTCTTAGGGTCATGGGTCAATAAATTATTATACTTTTCATACTTGAAACAAATAATTTCTTTAAATTTTGTAAATAAGCTAGATATAGTCATACATAGCCTTTTCGTTTATAAATAAAGAAGGTCAACGGTCCAGTTTTAGAGGGGATTGCTTGATAGACCGGTCATTTTTTAGAAGGCCGCAACCCTGAGCGGATTTTTTTATTAATAATTATGCCTTACTTTCAATTTACATAATTTTTTAGTCAATTGTCGTATATACTTATTTATATTACTATTCTATAGGAGTTATTTTAATTTTTGTAATTCTTTTTCTTTTTTAATTTATTTTTATTTTACAATATACTATGAAAACAAAAGGTTAATTAAAAAAGCATTAATAAATATCTGTAATATTTATTATATCCTTTACATTTGATTTGATATTATTAACATAAATACTTTTATATTAAATAAAATGATAAAACAAGAATTAAATTTGGGTAAAATGAAAGTATTAAAATAACAAAAAAATTAAAAGCCCGGTCCTGAACCCTATTTAAAAATTAGATTGCAAATCTTATATTGCTTATAATATTCAGCAAATGGAATAATTTAATTTCCTTCTAAAAATTAAAAATACGTATTTTTAATTTTTTGAAGGAAATTCATTTTTCGTTTGAGGACCGTGGTCCGGACCAAAGACCCGATCTTCGCTATTTATGAAGAATTTAAAACCATAAATGCCGTTATTGTAATAATTATAAAAATAATGAAGGTCACAGAGTCTTGGTCTCTTCTTACTTATTACAAAGATCAAATTATAAAATTACCGCGATACAAAAGAGTATTGACAAATTCCAGATACCTTTCCATACTAGATAAAACAGACAATAATGTATCGGTTTCTGAAGGCGGTTCAGATTTTGTGTTTGATTGTTTGATAGCTATTAATATATGGTCTGTAATGTATTGCAATGTTGCAAAAATCAGGTCCTGATATTTTGGGTCATTGTCTAGAAGCCTTATTTTCGCAACATAAATGATTTTTAAAATAAATTTAAGAATGTATTAAAAAAATATTTTTAAAAATATTCATTCATTAAAATATGTGGAGATCAGTTTGTCAACTCGGTCATCACTCACAAGTAACCAATAAGGCGGTTCTGCATTTCTAAGACTAATCATACTCACTCTCAAGGGAGGCTGATTATGACAGATTTTTTCTGTTTTTTACTTCACTAAGCATTCTTTGACTGTATGACTATATTACACTAGGAAAAAGACAATAAATTATTTGTTATTCCTTGAGTGATATACTGGAGATTAGCAACTTCTATAGATTTTTTAAAATTAGAAAAAAACCCTGCCGATATTTTAAACTGATTTTTCCAGATAGCTTCCTATTTTATGCTAAAATAAGTTTCTGTATAATTTTAAAAAAACATTAAAATAATTTTTAAAATATTAAATACGCAATGCGAATTATGAAATAATAAAATGTAAGAATTAAAAATAAGGAGGTAAATATGGGAACCAAACATTTAATAATGGAATAGGTTATATTTACGATTTGAAAGTGGCGAAGGCAAGGTCATGAAGGGATACTATTCGAATCAAACCATCTAATATTCTAATTATATTGTTAGGAATATCGGATTCTTGATTCACAGATAGTTTGGTAAAGTCCACTAATTGAATCAGTAAATGCTGGTATATGATTGTTAATGTAGGGAGTAAGGGGACTATATGAAGCGGCTTTTAAAATATGAAATAAAATAATTAACCAAAAAATTAATTAGTGGGTTCGGTTTAGAGGGTCGGGTAGGGTTTAGAAACATTAACCCTTTCATGCGCATAAATATGAAAACAAAAATGTATTTTAAATGGGTCATATTTTTTTTAATATAAATGACAAAAATTCTAATCATGTGTTATATTTAAATTTTATTATATATCAGAGACCTTCATGGGCCTTAATTTTTTAATCAAGCCCAGCCCAAGCTCGCAGTAATGATATATTTTAATATTTCATATAAAAATAAATCCAAGTCCATATTAATCTTCTAAAAATTTTCCCAAGGCCGTATCCAAAAATTTAATTTATTTATTTAATGAAATAAACAATATTTAAGTGTATTTAGGCAATCATTTTGTTTACAATACTAAAATTTATTATTATTGGGAAAAAAAATTGCGATATTTTTTTAAGTTAGTAACTGTAAATAAGCTATTTAAATTTAAAATATTTCGGCCTAAGCCTGGCCCATTAAAAAAAATTAGAAAACCCATGCCCGCTAGGAAATCAGCGAGCCTGCCCGACTCATAAATGTCTCTGTTCTAGATATATATATAAAAATTAGTTGCTTATTTATAAATTAAATATTAAAATTGTAATAATAAACTTGTAAATCAAAATCTTGGAAAACTTATAAAAATGAAAATATAATATTTAATATGACGTATTTTTGCAAGATATTTTTAAAAAATTGAATACAATGACCAATTTTCAGATTAAATAAAAATTTAAAAGCTCATGCAAAAAAGAAAAAATGAATTTCTATGGTGGATTATTTTTTGTATTATCATACAAAAGGGCATCCGATAAAATTGGGTTTTGCACAGCGTGAATGAAAGGGTTAATATCGCCGAAATGTTGCAAGTGACTTAAAAAATGATATTGTGAGATTATACAATCTTCTTTTTTTAAAATGCTATATGATATTTTTACCTTTCTATGTTTTACACCAGTATTGAGATTATCTTCAAATATTCCTAAATAATCAACCAATAACATAGCGTATTTTTTATCACGTGAAGCCAATAGGATATCGATAAAATATTTTGTCCAATTGGAGAAGAGATCAGGACAAAATAAAGAAGGTTCGGCAAAAGGCCCAAAGTGATTTATCGAACTTTTATTTTGAAATAATATAAATATGTTTATCCCTTTTATTTATTATCTGATGTTTTTTATCTATGCTGATGTTTATTTTTAAATATAATTTTTGCTTCGCTCTTAATTCCCTTTATAAGTCATTATTATTTAGTTATACAATAGAAATATTAATTGTACATCAAATAATATTTCTGTATAAATTTCTATAACTTAACATCGGAGGCGCCCAAGTAGATCAAGGTTGTTTTAAAGAAAGGCCATTTGATTAATTGAGCAATGATATCTAGTGCAACGTGATCGAAATTTCTATTTTTTGTAATTGTTAAGGGTAAATTTATTTTGCATAAATTTTCTATCAGGCAGTATACAGTTGGTAATGATATAGCGCTGTGCAAATCACAAATCTTAGCTAGCAGGTGTATCGACTTTTCCTTGAAAGAATCAGCTTAAATAATTGGATATTTTTAATTTAAAAAAAGTGTTGATAATAATTTTAAGCGATTTATATTAAAAAAGGGATATAATTTTTAAAAACAGCATTCAACCTAATTTATCCTGAATTTCATAGATTTTGATGTTTGTACGTATGACATCTTCAATAAATCGCGAATAAATTTGGTGCGGTATATATTTTAAGTGTAAGGCCCAAGCTTTGCGCTTATGTATAATCAAGTGCTTGCATTGATTTAAGTATTTCTAATAACAAATAAAAAAATCTCTTATTCTTAATGAGAATACAAGTGTTTAAAGAGTTTATTTCACCGCATACACTATATTGAGGAGAGAATCGTTGGTAGATGATGAAGGAAAGCAAAGAAGATAAGTGATAAAAAAAAAGGAAAGGTCGTTAAAAATATGAAATGATGTTACTAGAGATGATGCAACAAGAGTAAATAGAAAAATATATGCGATGAGGAATCTGACAATTTTTAAATGACTGACAGCAAAATCTAGACAAAAAAAAAGATATTATTTAATCATATCATATTTTTTATAACCAAAATATAGGGTTAAAAAATAAAAAACAAAAAAAAAGAAGTGTTTTTTACAAATTGAATTGAAATCACTTTATTTTGTCTGCTAGCTATAAAATTAACATATTTCGATCTATCTAGAGGTATAGGCAATGTATCCGGTAATAAACTATCCATCAATTGAAATAGTGCTAAAATTTTTGGGAAATTATCCTTAGATAGCAGAGACAATTTAGGCGTTTCGTGTTCCCCAAATTTCAAAAATTTTTCGTTGGCAAAATTCCATATTCGAGACAAAATATCGGTCCAAGATCGGTTGATAATGATGTCATATGATTGAGAATTGTTGTCAGACCCCGATTGTGTAGGATTTTTGTGATCCTCCCCCATCGAGGCGGTGCGAAGTAATAGAATGTTTATTATCGTGTCTTTGATTTTCTAATTTTAATCATTTTTTACACATTTATTCTTTTTTCCTTTCTCTTAATATAAAAACAATTTAATTTAAAAAATAATAATTATTAATTCCTATCCTTGACCCCTCTAAAAATTCCTTGTCTAATGTAATATTCGCTTTTAAAATTCTCACTCTCGCAACAAACTATCCTTCCCAAGTTCTTGTTTAAACAATAGACGGCATTGTCAAATGATACCAAAGTCAAAAATGACTATAGTAATAAAAACAGAGTTTAGATACGAGCTAAGTAGCGCGCTATTTAGCCTTTTAAATTAAATATTAAATATAATCATTAATATAATAAATACAAAATATATATTCATTAATATAAATAAATTGCATATAATAAATATATCAAATCTAGCAATTTTTAAAATGCCACAAATAGATATGGAAGTGTTAAAACACCGCGAGTCGCGACCCCGACCCAAAGTTTAGGTCGTTTTTGTCGACTTCGACTCAGAGTTTGTGTCGTTTTTATCGACCTCGACCCAAAATATGGGTCGTTTTTCGACTCTGACTCAAAGTTTGGGTCGTTTTTTTCGACTCAGACTTGAAGTTTAGTCGTTTTTTCGACTCAGACTTGAAGTTTGGGTCATTTTCTCCGACTCAGTTTAGGTCGTTTTTTCGACTCACATTCAAACATCGGGTCGTTTTTTACGACTCCAACTTATTTAAATTTTTTAAAGCAAATGGTTAAAAATAGATATTGTAACATGTTAAATTAAAATTTCAATGAAGATGTACCATAGGAAAGTGACAATTGTCATAATCGTCATTTTTGACTTTTTTCAATTTTTTTAAGGCAAATGGGTAAAAATATTTGTAAACATGTTAAATTAAAATTCCAGTGAAGATGTACCATAGGAAAGTGACAATTGTCATAATCGTCATTTTTGAACTTTTTTAAAGCAAATTGGTAAAAATAGATATTGTAAACATGTTAAAATAAAATTTCAGTGAAGATGCCCCATATAAATGAGGCAAATTGTCATAATCACTATTATTATACTTTTTTGAATTTAATTAAAGCTAATAGATAAAAATATATACTGTAATTAAATAAGCTTTCCTATGGTACATCTTTGAAATTTTAATTTAACATGATTGCAAAATATATTTTTTAAAAAAAAATTGTAAAAAGTTCAAAAATAAAGATTATGACAACTGTCACTTTCCTATGATCTTCACTAAAATTTTAATTTAATATGTTTGCAAAATATATTTTTACCCATTTGCCTTAAAAATATTGAAAAAGTTCAAAAATGACAATTGTTTCATATGGTACATCTTCACTGAAATTTTAATTTAACATGTTTACAATATATATTTTTACCCATTTGCATTAAAAAAATTCAAAAAAGTTCAAAAATAACGATTATGACAATTGTCACTTTCCTATGGTACATCTTCACTGAAATTTTAATTTAATATGTTTGCAAAATATATTTTTACCCATTTGCCTTAAAAAAATTGAAAAAGTTTAAAAATTACGATTATGACAATTGTTTCATATGGTACATCTTCACTGAAATTTTAATTTAACATGTTTACAATATATATTTTTACCCATTTGCCTTAAAAAAATTGAAAAAAGTTCAAAAATAAAGATTATGACAATTGTCACTTTCCTATGGTACATCTTCAATGAAATTTTAATTTAACATGTTTGCAAATTATATTTTTACCCATTTGCCTTAAAAAAATTGAAAAAAGTTCAAAAATGTGACAATTGTCACTTTCCTATGGTGAAATTTTAATTTTACATATTCACAAAATATATTTTTACCCATTTGCCTTAAAAAATTTCAAAAAAGTTCAAAAATAAAGATTATGACAATTGTCATTTTCCTTTGGTACATCTTCAATGAAATTTTAATTTAACATGTTTGCAAAATATATTTTTACCAATTTGTCTAAAAAAAATTGGAAAAAGTTCAAAAATAACGATTATGACAATTGTCACCTTCCTAGGGTACCTCTTCACTGAAATTTTAATTTAACATTTCACAATAAACCATTTGCTTTAAAAAAATTTAAATAAGTTGGAGTCGTAAAAAATGACCCGATGTTTGAATGTGAGTCGAAAAACGACCCAAACTTTGAGTCGGAATCGAAAAAACGACCCAAACTTCAAATCTGAGTCGAAAAAAACGACCAAACTTCAAGTCTGAGTCGAAAAAAACGACCCAAACTTCAAGTCTGAGCCGAAAAAAACGACCCAAACTTCAAGTCTGAGTTGAAAAAAACGATCCAAACTTTGAGCCAGAGTCGAAAAACGACCCATATTTTGGGTTGTAGTAGTTTTTTTTGGCTTGGACTCGGGTCGGAGTCGAAAAAACGACCCATATTTTGGGTCGAGGTCGTTTTTTCGCCTTGAACTTGGGTCGAGGTCGAACAAAACGACCCAAACTCTGAGTCGAAGTCGAAAAAAACGACCCAAACTTTGAGTCGGAGTTGAAAAAACGACCCAAAATTTGGGTCAGCTCTGTTCGTGCCGACTCGGCTAAGCGGATTAACAACACCGACGGTGTGACCGATGATATCAACAAAATCATATTTGGAAAAAGATTTGCTAATAATAGTATGAATTTACCATTTCATAAATTTAAAAATTTTTAATCTAAATTTAAAAAAAAAGACAGTTGGCTATTATCTTTAAAAAACACCTTAAGGTATAATTGTTAAATTTTATTTTTTTAAATTTAGAAAACCATACAACAAATTTGAAGGGCGTATAAAAATATATCAATATTTTGATAAAAAGCAATATTCAAAAGACAAATTTAATTCAAATCATATCACGCGTTATAATTAAATTATTCGAAATTTAGAACCTAACTCTCTGAAAAGCAGAGTGTATTTGGCTGGTCAAATTTAAATAAATATTTTTTATAAAATTAACTTTATTTTGCATTTAGTAGTAAAATATCTATAATATTCATTTTATAATATTTTTTAAATTTATTGTTATTCAATAGTTGATGTTTCACTCTCATGCAGCTTGTTCTGATTCATATTCAATATTATCATATTCTCTAATATTTTTTTATCAACTTTCCTGTTGCCGAGATCTTCAATCGATTTCTGTTTTAGTAAAAGTATTTACCCAAATCGACCAATTTCTTTCAAAAGAAGAGAAATATGAATTGTTAGTAAAATAGCTCTTCTATTAATAAGCAAAGTCCATTCTACTAACTTGAGGCTCTTATGGAAGATACTGCTTTCCACATAATTTGCAATTAAATGTGCCACTTTTTCTGAAATTTATATCACTTTGAAATATTTTGATATTACCACCTTGTAAAATGCCCAATTCTTGTATTATATCATATATTTAATTAAATTAACTAATGTTCCCCTTGATATTGAGGACCCATTAAATAAGCAGCATTGTAATCACATGTTTTTATATCGTTTTTTATTTTTTCAAACATATTTTTATTTTATTTCTTTCCAGATTTTTTTACTTATCCAATCAATTGACTGAATTTGACCGGTAATTAATCAACTTGCCAACCTGCTGAAAAGTAACCCTAAAACGCTTTCACCATCCTACAAACAAAGTACAGGGATAATGGCGATTGCCATGAACAAGATGACTCGCTACTTTTGCTTAATATAATCTATCCTAGCCAGATTTTGCTTTAAGAAATAAGACTTTCTCAATCCATAAAAGACATTAGTAACCAAAGGGGCCTCCCAGCCTTTTTAAATAGATCTGGCCGAAATCTTGATGGTTAGGGATAAATAGCCTTCCATATTATTGATAACTAAATTGAGATTTAGCTTAAGCTTTGAAATATCAAAGCGGGTTAAGATGGGGATAAGAGATAGGTCTCCTATTCCATCGGCTTTATTGGGAGAGTGGTTTGGAGAATAAGCTTCTCATTTTAATTCTTAGCCTATCAACACCGTTTTGTAATTTTAATTAACTTATAAAAACTTTTATGTAAAATTATTAGAATTTCTGGACTTGAAAACATTTTGCCAGATTCAGGAAAGGCCCATGTTTGATGTTGTTAAATAAAGGGTTTAGTACGGATCCAGTCAAAATTTTAAAAAATGGGGTACGGTCTAAGCGGGTTTCCTCGGTCTAAGCGGGTTTCCTCAAAGATAACTATCTTTTAATTATTTAAAAATCCCAAAACATTTGTGTCCTGGAACTCGTTAGTTTATTTCCAAACACTGATTCAGACCCTGGGTAAACGTTCTTATTTTACTTGCCTAGATTTTCTTTCGCGAAACCAACCGTTATAATTTTCCGAAACGTAATAAGAAAATTTTGAAAGAAGAAAATCAAAATGTTACTCGAAATTATATTTATTTATTATAAATAATTAGAATAATTTTTAATATTTTAATATTTTAAAAAAATTAGAACAAATTTATATGTGGACGCATGTTTTATAATAAAATTAAAAAATTCAACTTATTTTCTTTAATTTTTGTTTGGTTTTTAAATATTATTATTAGATTATTAGGTGTCAGTAAAATAATATATACGATAATTCTAAAAATCATAAGTTTACAAAAATCGAAATGAACCAAAAAAGAACAAATATGGATATGTAAATTGGAACTAATCGATTTAAATTTCTTTTAAGGCAAGCGAAATGGAAATGAACCGTTATACCTATCAGTTCGACACTCTAATGTGAAGGATAATTAGTGGCTAGGTAGCGAGTATTCTTGAAGTTCCTGGTAATTTTTTAGTTTTATAACTTGGCATTATTGAATAAGTTTTAATAAGTACTGTTAAATAACATCAATGAAAATAAAGCAAGATTTTAGAAAAGCAGTATGTAATAAAACTCGTTTTAAATTGGTTACAAAGGATAAAAAAAATTTTAAATTTGTTTTCCCAACTATGATTCGAAATCTAATTACTAATATATCATTTATTTATTTTTTTGTGGCATATTTGATTTGAAATAATCTTTAATCGCTAATGATATAATAAATGATAGAATAATAATGAAACCAATATAGTAACCTCAGCATTAAAACTTTCACATGATTGAATCGAACAATAAACTTCCAATAGGTGATCGACCAATGCCGATTCTCCTGACAAATTTGTGTCGCTTAATTTTTATAATTTTATTTAAGAAATAATTAGTTTTTTTTATAAATTCTTTTTGTGATTGTAAACTGCACTGATTCGAATTGAAAATTTCTACATTATATATGGTATTAATATTATAATACTTTAATATTCCAAAATGATTGACGTGCGCCTTTATGACAAGATATATAATGGATGAAAGAGACTCCAAGGCGTCCATATTTTTACGATAAACAAACATTTGCTTGTCAGAACAAAGAAAAAATTCGCTATCACCTTTGTGGATTTTTGAGAAAATGTCAAAATTTAACCGAGTCATATTTGTTAAAAATTGATTGATGATGGTTTCAGTTTCAGCATCAAGAGAATGAATAGAACCTGGAAGTTTTTCCAAAAGCGCTCTAACCAACTTCAATATCACATCTGGAAATTTATAAATCAAATGATAAAATAAAATCAATTTAATTGAATTGGTTTTCAATGTTGATTTAATATTCAATGAACATATTTTATCATAGGTGTAGCTAAAATTTTACTAAGAGGGGACTTTTTTATGTTCATTATATTGGAGACAACCGGGCTACATTTTTAAAACTGAAAATTAAATTATAGTCACTATTTTAAAAAATTTGTAGCATATTACTTATATTTTTCAAATTGTTAATATAATGGCACATTTTATTTATTCTTCGAGGATAGGAAGCAGCGTAGGAAAATCTTTTGTAATAATATTTATGAAAACTGGAGCATATTTGGTGGTTAAAATTGAATAAAATCACAAGGAATCGGAATCTTATTCATTTTTAAATCTGAAAGTCTTTAAAAACAAACTGAAAGTTTACGAAGACTAACTAATCTCATAATATAATATCAATCTCAACTATGTTATTTAATTCAAGAATAGCTGACTTATTTATGTTCTATTTGCAAAGATTATTACTATAGATAATCAATTTAATTTGGGATTCAACTTGAATTGGGCAATTTAACCATTGACATAAGTAAATTTTATAGAGATAAGGAATAAAATAATTTCTCATTGAAAACAAACTTTTAACATAATCATCAGTATCGTTGTTTTCCTTTTTTTCATAAATAGCATATTTATCCACGTAATTGAGCAATTTTTCGGCTGCCGTTAAAATATTCTTGGAGTTTTCCAAAGATTTCGGCTTCGTCACCAATAAATTAACCGGGTATACTATCATCCCATCTCGAGTATTCAAACAATTATCGTTCAAATATTTGACACATGTTACGAGATTTATTAAAAATGGGAAAGATTGAATGGATTTCGATCCTGGATAGTCATTATATTCTGATAAATATAAATATATTTTTGTAAAATGATTATTTATTATTTGTAATTTTAAATGAGATATTTGGAAAATAAATAAATTTAGCTAGGAAATAAATTAAAATAATATTTAAAATATTTCTTCTTAATTTACATAGAATAGTTAACCAAGATTCTATCTATGTATAAGGTGAACATTTTTGTTAGTCTCAAAAGCTATTTCAGCGATTTCAAAACTACACTTTTCAAGAATTCAGGGGTCGATCAACTTATTTTCCAAATTGCAAAAAAATATATATATTACTAAAATTTGCGATGTGATAAATATAAGCATTTTAGTTCCATCCTAAATTAAACACGAGTGTGCTACTCAGTTAAGAGAACAAAACAAGGAGACACGTGACTAATCGTTATTTTCATTATTTAAAATGGCGGAATATGAGGATTGTAACATTCAAAAATCAAATTATACGTTATTGTCAAAGACCTGTTTATGTATGCTAGGAGCTAATCCATGAATATGAGATTTCTAGGGTTATAGCAATATATGAACTATTTAATAAATCGTGAAATAATAAATGTCATGTATCCCCCTTATTTCCCTTCCTTACCTCAATTGGATGGAGTTTTTATTTGGAGATCTCTCGAGGATAATTTGGTTCTAAATTTATTTTACGAAAAGTATAGTAAGATTAGAATAGAACCCTAAAATCATCAAAATGAAATCTAGTATTTTACTTCGTAAAGTATTATTTCAAACTTATTTCACATATATAAAAGAATACTGATAGTGTTAAGTTTGAAATGGTAATTAATGAAAAATGTTACAAAAAAACTTGAATGATATAAGCAAGACTAAATGAGATATATATATATAACTCAAAGAATATCAATAAAACCAGATAATAATAACTCAAAATGTGAGTCTGGATCCTCTTTAATTTAAGGCCTTCTGAGGAATTGTTAATGTAAACAATTGCTAAAGATTCTATGGTATGAAAATATGACCGTTAACATATTATATGTGGATGTAAAAGTTATCATTTGCACAAATTTTATTCAATTCTTTTAAAATATCTTTTGATTACATTATTTGAGCTGAAACATTCATTGCAATGTATTATTTATAATATTAATATGTTAGGAGACTGTTGGCAATATTTATTATTTGCACAACTGTTAAATTTAGGTTGAAAAAATGATATGCTAAAAATATTTTCTTATTGCATTATTTAAGCTGAAACATGTAACGCGTTACTTTTAATCATAAAAAAGTATTTTACACCTTATTATCAAATAAACGATTTTACTTATCAATTGGTTTGGACAAACAAACAAAAATAAAAAGCCATTTTGATTATTTAACCCGCAAATGTAAACCAATTTCAAGTAAAAGCGCTAAAAAAGATATATACAGTACACTTAAGCTTCCCACCTCGATGACACAAGGCTTGCATTTAAAAATCAATTACTTTCATTGGTTTCGTATTTTTTTCAAATTTCTTGCTCTATTTTATTACCTGACCCAAAATATTTTAAATAATTTAGGCTCTGAGCAATAAAAAAATATTAAATTAACTATGATTTTCCAGTCTATTTGATTGGCCTATCCTGGCTCGGATTTTATATTTAAAAAATAACCAAACCTAATCCGTGTTTTATTTTTGGATATTTTTACGGCTCCTAAACACCTGATATAGACTGGGATTTGGTTCAGAATTAAGTGAAAATATTATTAATATAATCAATTCACATTAAAATTCTGAAGCCGGATCCCTTTTACAATAGTTCATCAACTTTTCAAAAATCAGCCCATGATTTTTATCATGGCCACATCTCATTGTAATAATATTTTAAACTGGCAGATAGCTTGTCAGGGAATAACGAATAAATCAGGTGAATCAGAAATTTGTTTAGAGCTATGAATCAAAAATTTACCAGTATTTTAATGAGAAGTAATTCAGATATTTGCCATTATTTTGATATAATATATTAGTTAATAATATATTTAGTACTTTCGGCTATGTGCAAATTGTTAATCAAATTATTTTTTTCTCAAAAATTATTCTTTTATATACACAATAAAAACCTCATCTAACAAAATTAAATTTTTTACAGGGATGTGAACCCGAACCCGGACCCTAGTATTTTGGCTGTACCCGAACCCGAACCCTTTTTAAAAGTAAGGGTCCAAGGTTTCTAGGTGTCATAAAAAATTTTAAAAATAAAAATATTTTTTTAAAAAATATAAATTTTTTAAAATTTTATTTACCTTTTTTTGTGGAATCATTTATTTTATCTTCGCGTTTTTCTTTCTATTTTCTTCCTGGACTTCCATTTTATTTAGGATTGATATCATAGATTATTTTCGTGTAGGTAATAATATTTTATTATGTAAATTTATTAATATGCTATGTTATAGAAATACGTTGATTATTTTGAAAGTGAATTATTTTGTAGTGCAAGTAATAATATTTTAATTTAAATGATAATGCATACACGTTGGTCCTCAATTTGTATGATGCTAGAACGATTATTAAGTTAAAGATTTCTGTAATGATTTTATTATAGGAGCATGTGAAGCATTTTGTCGGAAGATGATTGGTGGCAAATAAAGGACCTTACTAGTGTATTAGTTCCTTTAAAAATAACAATATTAAGATTACAATCAGAACAATTATGTTTATTTGATTTTTATGGCATATGGATTAGATGCCGATTAGATTTAGAAAAATTTACAGTCCTTTTTATACGAAATATTAGAAAACATGAAAATTCGAGCAACAATATTTGCAAAATAGTTTTGTATACACTTCTATATATTTAGACCTTCGATATCAAGTTTTATTGAATAATGAGCAAAAACAAATGGCTAAAGACCATCTTAAAGATTTATGGCATACCCTTCTACGACAATACTTACTGGTTGTAGTGATAATAATAATTATGATAGCAACATTGATGATCTTGAAATTTTACTTTTAGATAGACAAAAAATATATAAAATAATCATCAGATGGAAAGGAGGATCAAAAAATGCCTATTGCTTGCATCTTTAATAGAAAAGTTCTCAGAAGTTAAGAGTAAATAAAGATACAAATATTTAAAATTCTGGAAGAAAATTCTTCAATATATCCAGAATAATATATCTTATCTAGAATCTTCATGGCTGTACCGGCGACAAATACAATAATTTTATAAAGATAACTATCTATTTTAGGTAAGGGTAGAACGTGAATTTTCATCTTAGAAATATATACGCTCTAATTTACGTGGAAATCTCAAGGATGATATTTTAGAAGATATTATGATTGTGCGATTGAATAAAACATTTTTAAAATATAAATTACATTTGTAAATTATGAATATGTATATATTGAAGTATAATAATAAATGAATAAAAATTATCTTATTTTGTGCCATTATTTTTATGTTCCCTGAACCCGGGTCCTTTTTAAATTTCATTCCTGTACCCAAACCTGGACCCTTATGTTGTCAAAGGGTTCCCATCCCTGATTTTTTAGATCATATACAAAATCAAATGTATGCAAATTTATTAATTTTCTTTATTGTACATGCAGAAAAATTAATTTGAGACATTATGATTTATATCGATATATTAAAAATATAATTTACAGATATCTTCCAAATGCATAGATGAGAAAGTACTAAATATATACTTGGCTAACATATTTTATCAAAATAAGGAAAAAAATTTGAATCATCTTTTATCAAAATATAAGTACATATCTGATTCATATCAAAAAATAAAGCAAATTCACCCATAATTCTTTAATGAGCTATATGCTAAATATATAATTCCCAAAAGAAAATGTATAATACTTGATACAAATGCATTAAGAACTAGATCAATTTTTTGATATGGGGTATATTTTATTATAGCTATGAACAATTGGCCAGCCAAATGAGATATTTGTTTCACCATTTCTAATTCTGAGTCAATCTTGGGTTCAAGTTCCTTCGTGCGTTCTAAATTAAATTCCTGAGGGAGCTCATTCTCATTTTTATTTATGATACCATTATTTTTATCATCACGGTTATCAATTAAAGAATCATTTTCTTTGAAATTATTCCTAGAATCACAAACATCGGAAGAGTTATTAAAGGTTTCAGAACTATTGTTTTCTTGTTCAGTAGTATCAAATTTACATCTTTTGGGATCTGGCTCGTTATCAAATTTTATCACATTGCTCAAATTTCGCTTCACTCCATTTAGTTCAGGATTATCATACTCTTTATAGGGGTCTCGCGTTGATCCGTAGAAAAACCATCGCAAAATGAAACTAAGATTCGTTATATCCATTGAATCGAGAAATAATTTATCGATTAAATAATAATGCGAATTGGTAGTATCCATGCGGCCAAGAAGGAAATTTAAAGCTAGTTTTGTTTCCATAAGGTAAAGAGATAGGTTGGAATGCGAAGTTCTTTGATTTTTTTTAAAAAAAGTATGTTTGGTTGTAATAATCTTATATAATAAATTTAATATTATTCATTAATTAAATTAAAACCTATCAAAAGCTAATATAAAATATAATGTTTACTTCTTAAATTTCATTAATTATGAGCAAAAAAATGTAAATTTCAAATAATATATTAGCAGGAACAGGAGGTAATTAAAAAAATAACAAACAACTAATTTGTCTGACAGTGTCATTCTAATAAAAAAGTCAAAAAATTCAAAAACTAAAAAAATTGATTTGTCAATATTCTTAATTAGGGACATGCAGGCTTCTACACCCCTCCTGCTAAGTGACTGATAATCCCCCCCCCCAATCACACTATCACTGAAACCCTAAATAATTAATTGACAAACATATATATTTTTAAAAGAAAATTTTTTTAATTATAATTATATATAACAAAATAAAAAATATAATAATTGAAAAATAATATAAGACGACTCCTAGAAAATTTATTACAAACATAACATTTAGATCCATTATATCTTTTATTGTTTTATAATACCATAAGGATTTGTATTTGGTATATTGTTTTCCTTTATATGTGTACAGCCATGCTATGGCGTCGTGTGCTAAATTATTATCGGAGTTCCTTATTATGTGGGCTAAGAACTGGATCCGGGGTTTTTTTAGAGTGATAGTTATTGGCGTGTGAATTGACTTTTTCCAAAGATTAGAGTTTGAGATAACTCTAGGATAAAAAATGCCGTTTATTGTACGTAGGCAATTATTAATAAATGATTGTAGAGGCCTTATTTCTGTTTTACCTCCCAAATATCACCTCCATATATAATACCATAGGAACTATCATCGAGTTAAATATCCTCAATCTAGTATTCTCTAGCTTTCCATATTTTCATATATTTATAAAACGCTCCTCTAGCTTTTTGTATTCTCATCCTCATCTCTTCCTTGCAACTTCCTTTATCATCTAAAATTACACCCAATCAAGTACTTTATTTTCTCCACGATTTTTACTACGTTCTTTCCAACTGTAAGATTTTGGATCGGTAGCGCATTTGGGGAGGGGAAGATAACAGTTTTGTTGAAGTTAATCCCAAGTCCTACTCTATGGCTCACGGTCTCTATTAGATAGAGTAGACTTTTGGTTTTTTCGATACTCTTGGATATTACCACGATATAGTCCGCATAGGATATTATTCTATTTACAAAAAATATTTTCTCATTTGACCCTATATACACTAGATCAGCCGCTCCTAGTACATCTTTTATAATTTTATAGATAATTATATTGAAAAGGAAAGGTGAGAGGGTGCAACCTTGTTTTACACCTTTTTTTACCCTAAAGAAAGGAGAGATTTTATCATTAATTTTAAAACAAGCAAGTAAATTGGAATAGTGATTTTTTAAGATGAGGATTATTTGAGGTTCGATACCGCATTCAGCTAGCGTCACCCAAAGAGCTTCATGGTTAACGTTGTCGAAAGCTCTGCTAAAATCAATGAATGTGTAGAAAGAGGATATCATGTATTTATGGCATTTCATTATTATTTTTAAGGATAATATTGGTTCCAATATATTTTTGCTAGGCCTATAAGCGCAAATGTATTTAGGAAAAAGAAGGGGCGTCGATTGTACAATTTCGTTTTTTACTACTACCATAAATATTTTGTATACACAGGATGTAAGTGCGACAGCACGATAATCAGTAAATTTTCGTGGGTTTCGGTTTTGGGGAAGCTACATAAGAAGGACATGTTCCATTCTGCCGGGGTGTTACCACTCTCCCATATTTTGTTGAAAGGGACTAGAAGGAAGGAAGAGGTCGTCCTAAGTGCTATCTTTAAATACTTAGCTGTAATGTTATCAAGCCCCGGAACTTTGTTGCTACGTAATTTTTTTATTACATTCATTATTTCATTTACAGAGAAACCAGACTGGGGTGGGTGTAAAACAAGGTTGCACCCTCTCACCTTTCCTTTTTAATATAATTATCTATAAAATTATAAAAGATGTACTAGGAGCGGCTGATCTAGTGGATATAGGGTCAAATGAGAAAATATTTTTTGTAAATAGAATAATATCCTATGCGGACTATATCGTGGTAATATCCAAGAGTATCGAAGAAACCAAAAGTCTACTCTATCTAATAGAGACCGTGAGCCATAGAGTAGGACTTGGGATTAACTTCAACAAAACTGTTATCTTCCCCTCCCCAAATGCGCCACCGATCCAAAATCTTACAGTTGGAAAGAACGTAGTAAAAATCGTGGAGAAAATAAAGTACTTGCTTGGGTGTAATTTTAGATAATAAAGGAAGTTGCAAAGAAGAGATGAGGATGAGAATACAAAAAGCTTGAGGAGCGTTTTATAATATGAAAATATGGAAAGCTAGAGAATACTAGATTGAGGATATTTAACTCGATGATAGTTCCTATGGTATTATATATGGAGGTGATATTTGGAGGTAAAACAGAAATAAGGCCTCTACAATCATTTATTAATAATTGCCTACGTACAATAAACGGCATTTTTTATCCTAGAGTTATCTCAAACTCTAATCTTTGGAAAAAGTCAATTCACACGCCAATAAATATCACTCTAAAAAAACCCCGGATCCAGTTCTTAGCCCACATAATAAGGAACTCCGATAATAATTTAGCTCACGATGCCATAGCATGGCTGTACACATATAAAGGAAAACAATATACCAAATACAAATCCTTATGGTATTATAAAACAATAAAAGATATAATGGATCTAAATGTTAATATGAAACAATTCATTAAACTAAACAACAGTAAAAGATCCATTAAAAAGCTGTTTCGCATCAAAAAAAGTTACCTCAAATGAAAATGTATTTCAGAATTTCTTGTTCATTATCATTATCTAACGTTTCCTATCTCAATATTTATTCAACTCATCATTATCAAATGTTTCCTATCTCAACAATTATTCAAATCCTCTTGGAAGTATTCTTTTGAATTTCCTTACTAAAACCAACACTAATATAGTAAAAAAAAAATTTAATTAAAAATGTTCCTCCGCCCACCCTAAAGTAATTAAATTTTTACTGTAGTTCTAGGGTATAGGCTCTTTTTTTTGCCCCACTCCCTTTTAAATAAGCCTATAGAGGTTTAAGTAACATTTTTTCGAAATGTTACGCCTACAAGTATGTGCGGCTTGCCTACAAACGTGTAGAGGGCTCCTCATATTTTTACTTTTATACCCAAATTAAATTAGTTCCAATAAGATGGAAATGAGGAAAACCTAGCGTAGCTCTGTTGAACTTTCAACACTAGAGGGAAAAAGCGCTATATATCACGTAAAGAATAATTTTAATTCTTATTAAATATTCACAATTTGTTTATAATAAAATTTAAAAACGTATTGCAAAAATTAATTTATATTTTAAATGTTAAAGTATAAAAACCAGAAAATTTGTAAAATACGAAAAAAAATTTTTTTTATTTATTTTCCCTGACATTTAGAATCTTTGAACCCTCCACTTTTAAAAAAGACCGGGTTTGGGTTAAAAATACGAGTGTTCTAGTGTCCTGGTTCACATCTTTTTGAATATTAAAAATTATTAATAAATATTTGAAATTATTCTTAATTAGCTAACTCGTTCCTTTTTAAAATTTTAATAATCCATTTTTGAAAACATGCAAGAATTTAATTTTCAGATCGAATATTCGACTAATCAATTCGAAAAATGTTTATTCGTTTTGAATATTTCGATTCTACGAATATAAATAGTACAATTACTAATTCGAAAATACGAACCGAATACAAATAATGTAAATATTCGTGTCGTATTTTTCTACGTATGCCCACCCCCCAAGGACAAAAAAAGGAACAATAATCTAAAAAAATACTCTCTCCCCCCATCTGAAAATTTTACCGAATGATCCTAGTTCTTAACCGCTCCCCCCTTAAAATTTTAGTGGCAATTACCTTCGCCATGCTAAATGTCGTTAAACACCTCCAAATATGTAGTAAACAAACTTCCTTACTATAAAGGTTTCCACTAGATATTAAAAAATCGCTTGAATTTTAATAAAGATAAAGCTTATAAAATAAATTCATTATTTACGCATTCTTGGTAGAAAGATGGTTCTCAATAACATTAAAACGATAAAGAGCTATGTCCATGCATCTAAGACATCTGAATAGTGCATCAATTTTTTCCGTAAAATCGGTTATGAATTTTACTTTAATAGAGTGTTCGAGTTCTTTAGAGTTTTTGGTCAAAAAATCTTTAACACAATTTATAATTTTGTACATTTCTAATCTGCGTGAATAGGCATATAAAATAGTATCTAACTTTTGCAAATAAAAGGATTCTATAGCTAGTATAAGTGTTTTCAAGGGATGTAAAAGTTTGTGGGCTATTTTATTTGGTAATATGGATTTTGAGAGTGAATATTTTGAATCAATTTTGAGCTTTTCGTGAAGATTAATGATATAAGTCTTTAGAGTGGTCAGCAACTCACAACGGTCTAAAGTGTCTACGTTAAATATTTCATGGCCACTAGTAGAATAAAATTTTTGGATGGTGATGAGCGCGTTCAGGCATTCCGGAACTAATCCAAGCATCGTATCATCATTTTTATGTTGTGTTTGATCAGTCATGATGGTACAAGGTAAAGCTTTCAATATTTCATGGGCATGGCATATATCAAATACACTTTTACTTCTACTAAATAGTAAAGTTCGAAGGATATCATCATTTTGACAATTCAAACTAGATAATAAAGGCGTTATTAGGTAAGTTTCGTAAAAATCTTTTCCAGTCTGGAGGAAATAATTAATGAAAGGATGATAGCTCATGTATTCAGGGTATAGGACCATTTTATCGTAATTATTTTCGCATAATAATAGTGTTTCCAGAAAGGCAAAAGTAAATTCTGGCATATCACTATATAAAACTAGAGGTAACAATTTTTGCACCATATTAGGAGTATTTATCGAGGTGTCGGGATGATGTGAGTGATATCTAATTAGCATAGCTAGATATGTGCCAATTTGTGCTATATTTATTGTTTTAACCCCTTCTTTTTCGACTTGATTCTTGCGATAATCTAAATACATTGGTAAATGAATTAAGAGCTTTGCAAAAATATCTGAAAATGATGAGTAATGTTTTGAGTGCACAGTTTCACTATTTGAGATTATTGATTTCTGACTATCAAAATCAATTTTATTTATATCATTTTTAATCAAATATTTATTATACCCTTCAATAAGAGTGTCTTCTATTTCTTTATAAATTTTTTCCTGGTCTTCATTCAGAATTTGAGTATTTTTAAAACTTTCAGTGATCTTGTACATGGTAGGAACAGAGTAAAAATACAAAGATTTATCTATATTATTTTTATTTTATAAACAAATAATAATATAAAATGATGGAAAATTTGGCAATTTACTTAATATTGGAATTCTATTTTCCAAATTTATGGCTTTCATGGATTTTTCTTTTATGTAGCTTTCTCCAAATATTGCTATATCCATATTGTGACTATAAAAATGTTAAATGATATATTTTTATAAATTAAAAGAATATTAAATAAAATAATTTTTAGATATCAATAAAAAAAGTTATCAGTTATTAGGAATAAAAATTAGAATTCCCTGAAATATTTAAATATATATGAGTATGGAGTTACACTTAGTGTTGTTAAACCGGTCAATTTCGCAAATTTATTAAAAATGGCTAAATTAAGATTTTAGTCAAAATAATATTGCCCAAGCCTAGATTTTGTTCTTAGATGATGAGAGGTTTGGGCATAGCAAAATTTAGAAACTTTGGTAATATTATTTTGGCTAAAATCATGATTTAGCAGCTTTTTTTTAAAAAAAGGCTAAACGAGCAATTTAAAAACACTAGTTATATTAATACTAGGCTTATTCAAAAACGAATCGAATAGTAATGAATAAACCGAATTTTACGAACGTTTTATTCGAATCGAGTTATTAAAATAATTTGAGAGAATAATCGAATTTATCATAAATTTAATAATTTGCCATATCTATTGAAAATCTATCAATCTGATAGATGATGTGAATTTGATTAACAAGATATATATCAACTGCTTCTTAAAGGTTTTTTAATTGAATTATAATAAAAAAAACAATAAGAAAAATTCTTCACCTAAAAAATACATTTTAATGTCGTTAATAACTTGATTGCATCTATATGATCAGATTTTTATAATTATTTTTTCTATTTTGAGAATTAGATATCAAAAAAAATTAAAAAATTATATCAATGTATTTATGCATAAATTATTATATAATATATTTAAAAAACAAATTATTTGATTAATTTAAATAGAATACAAAAAATAGTAAATGAGATTCACTTAAACGAATAAGCACTCTTCGTATTTAAATAGGACTAGTTTACTTAACTTAATAATATTATTTTTTTTCTCTTTAGCTTTCACCTTTTCTGGTGGTAAGCTCCTTCAACATCTCTCTCCACTTTATGTTATTCATACAATCTCTTTTATCTATTTTATACTTCTTTATATTGGCTCTAACTTTATGGCCCCATTGAAGTTTTGGCCTTCCTCTTTTACGTTTGCCCATCACTTCCAAACTTTCAACTTTATTTCCTATGTAGTTCATAGGCCTTCTCATTGTGTGCCCATACCACCTAAGTCTGTTTACCATTAACTTAGTCTTAATGGGCACTACCTTTAAACTATTTAGTATTCTTGTACTGCGCACCTTATCCTTTCTTGTTACCCCAGCAATCATCCTCAGCATTCTCATCTCCAAAGTTTGTAGACTTCTCTCGTCTGATTCTTTGGTTGGCCATGTTTCCGAACTAATAGAATAGTTGGTTGTACTATGGAACTGTAGATTTTTCCCTTTAATTTGTGTGGGATTCTTTTGTCAAATAGCACTCCAGATAAAGATCTCCACTTTAACCACCCTTGATTAATCTTATTCTTTATCTCTTTTTCTATTGTGCCGTTTGTTTGTATAGTGGAGCCCAAATATTTGCAGCTTTTAATTGCGGATATCTGCCAATCATTTATATCAATACTCTCCGTTTCATCTCCTCCTATCACCATATACTCCGTCTTTTCTCTATTTACTTTTAATCCGTGCGTTTCTAGGATATTTATCCAATTCACTAACCTTTCTTTCATTTCATCCTTGGATTCGGCAAGTATCACAGTATCATCTGCAAATATCATATTCCACGGGACTGTTTGAGGTATAGACTGTGCTAATACATCTATTACTGTAATGAAGAGAAGTGGGCTGAGAGCCGACCCTTGATGAACTCCTTCGGCTATTGTGAAGCCTGCTGAAGTACCTGTTGTGCTACGGACCATTGTTGTATGTCCCATATACATATCCTGTATTATTCTTATATATTTTTCGGGCACTTTTTTGTGGCGTAGCGCCCACCAGATAAGTTTTCTTGGGATTCTATCGAAGGCCTTTTCTAGATCGAGAAAGACCATGTGTAGCTTTTTGTTCTTTTCTCTGTATTTTTCACTCATTTGCCTAATTGCATGGATAGCATCGGTTGTTGATCTTCCAGGCATAAAGCCAAACTGTGTCTCTCCTATTTCGATTATATCTCTTAATCTTTTTTCTATTATTTTTTCGTATAGTTTTAGACAGTGTGACATTAGTTTTATGCCCCTGTAATTTTGACAATTGTGTTGATCCCCTTTATTTTTGAAGATAGGAACTAGATAGCTCTTCCTCCATTTTTGGGGAACCTTTTCATTTCCAAGTATTTTATTGTACAGATTTGTGAGGAGATGTATTCCATCATCTCCTAGTGCTTTAAGGCTTTCTATTGGAATATCGTCTGACCCCTAGCTTTGTTGTTTTTCATATGCTTGAGGCATGTGATTATTTCTTGTTCCGTTATAGGTTGTACAAGGTTTTGACAAGGGGAGTGTTCATCGAGATGCAATATGTGGGAATTAAAGTTGAGAAGCTCCTGAAAATATTCTTTCCATCTATTCATTATTTTTTTTTCCTTTATTATCAATTTCCCATCTTTATTTTTGATTACTTTCGGAGCTCCGTTTATATTCCTAGAGTTCTTTTCTCGCTGTTTGGCTAATCTGTATATTTTATTTTGCCCTTCTTTGGTATGTAGTTCTTCATACATGTCATCGTATGCCATAGATTTGGCCCTAGCACCTTTGTAGCTGTTCTCTTGGATTTTTTGTAACTTGTCTTGTCATCTGGGTTTTGGGATTTGTACCATATTTTATAAAGGGCTTTTTTCTCCTGGTATCTCTTCATTCCACCACCTTAGTTCTTTATATGATTTGTTACCTCCCCTTGTAGTGTCGATTTGGCAGTGTCTATTAATCTGGATGAAAGGTCTGTCCAGATTTTTTCACTGACTTGTGAGCAATTTATTGTTTCAATGTTTGCATTGATTGCAAAGGCATCTGTCATTGTTTTTAATTTGCCCCATTTGATGCATGGTTCCAGTTTTATCTTATTTTGAGTGGATTTATTTGAGATTTGTAAATCCATGATTAGTAGCTTGTGTTGTGCGGCGATATCTTCTCCTGGGATGACTTTGCAGTCTATTACATCTTTTAATCTTCTGCGAGAGATTAGCATGTAATCTATCTGTGTTTTCCTAGTACCACTTTCATATGTTATTAAATGACTGTCTTTTTCCTATAGTAGGTGTTGGTTAAGGCAAGGTCGAAGGCTTGCGCAAATTTTAGTACGTGCTCTCCTTCATCATTTCTTTCTCCGTATCCAAAACCACCATGATGCCTTTTGTAGCTATCTCTTGCTTTCCCCACATGCGCATTTAAGTCACCACCAATTATGACTAGGTCATCCTTAGGGATTTCCATTACAGCTTCATCAAGGATAGCTCTAAAGTCATCTTTCTCTTCTTCCTTGCAACCCTTTGAGGAGCATATACTGATAGGATTTGTAGTATTGATTGACCAATGCAGAGTTTTATCTTCATAAGTCTATCAGAGATCCTGTTGACTTCTACTACTGAAGAGGTTAGGTCTTGGCTGAGGATGATGCCGACACCTTTCCTATTGCTAACAAGTCCATTATAATACAATTTATACCCATCTCCAATCATCAAAGTTTTCTGTCCTTTCCATTTCGTCTCTTGTATACACGCTATATCAACTTTTCTCTTGTTCAACATTGATGCCAATTCTCTCGTCTTACCTTTAAGCATCCCAATATTCAAACTTGTCAGTCTTGTCTTCTTTGCTTTGACCTTTACTTTATTTTTCACAGGATGGAGGTCTACACCCTGCGCGTCGCATGGAGGGAACGCCCTAGCTTTCATATTCATATTTTCATTTGTGTCCTTCATTTGTTTATTGGACAGGTATCCTTAGCACCCGGTTGTCAAGGCCTGTCGGTGACCGGGGTGTCATCTCTAAGCTCCGAAATTCATCATACCATATGTCTTTACACATCAGTCATCGAAGAAAAACTTGAAGGTTTTTATGGTTCTTACCAGGATTGAACCCGCGTCCTTGTTCATACTCGTGTTTCCAAGCCTGCATCTTACCCATTAGGCCACCCCGGTGATACTTAACTTAATAATATGAGTAACCAATTTAGATAATCATAACTTGACTGATCTTTTCAACTTTTCCTATAAGAATTAACATATAAAATCATATTTTATAAAAAATAAAAGTGAAAACTAAATAAGTGAAGCAATTTATGTAATAATTAGTTGATAAAATTGCCTTGTTGAACTAACCATAACAATTTATTATCCATATATATATTTGAGAGAAGGATGGTTGGCAAATCATTTACTATTATCTTGAAGCAATTAATGCATTAGAATGGTGTTGAAAAAATTATCTTGTTAAACTAACAAGAATAATTTATTATCATATATATTTGAGAAGGATGACCTGAAAATCATTTATTATTGTTTATATGGGCCAGGTCTTTCATTCTCAATATTCAAACTAAAAATATTGAAATAAGGAAAACTTGTGCTTGTAGTAATTTGTTCCTATATTTTATAGGGAGCATGAGGAAGGCCTCTGTGGGGTTAAATAAAATTATTTTAGGGTGGGGGGGGGGTGATTAGTGTTACTTGTAAATTATTATCTGCTTGTAAACTATTATTTTTTGGATACAGTAGTGCTATAAATCTAAATATAACTGTATTTTAATGATTTTCTTAAAATTTTCTTTAGAAAAAATGATTTCTGAGATTGTTTTATATTATATAAGAAATAATACAAATCAATAAATTTTAATAATGAATATTTTGAAAGTATCTTACATTTGAATTTATGAGTCAGAGAAACAAAATCAATTTTTAAACTTAATTAATGGACTCATTAAATACATAAATACTTTCCAGGGCTACTAAGTAGATAATTAATCTAGAAGCATATATAACGTATATTATCATTTACTCTAAAGCACTAGTCACATTGTCTTCATCTAAATATAATAAAGAAATTATTTACCAATTGAATATTGATATAAAGGTATTGATTGTTAATAAATAAAATTTTAGCCAAAAATATATTGTCAATATTATTTATAGAATTATATACTAACATTCTTTTAAATCACAAATTGATGATGCATCAAGCTTCCTTTTTACACATTTATATATTATTCTCCCATATACAGCTAATGTTAATGCATCATAAAAACCTAAAAATACAATTAAAATATTGTGATTGATATAAAAAAAATTAAACCAGTGATTATTAATCCATCTGTAGGAATTTCTTTATCAATAATTGTTAAAATATTTTCATTGTGCTCATATTCAAGACTATATAATATATTTTTAAATATAAACACAATTATTATACTTTGAGAGTTTTTGAAATACTGCTGCTTCTATGTCTAATAAGTCATTAACAAAAAATTCCAAATAAAGTTTTGTTGGGAGGGTGGCACTAAAATATTTTAAAAATAATTAAAGGAGTTAGATTTACCCTAGTCTTTGGCCACCTAATAAATTGGCCTTAACCAAAGTTCCCAAAGGGACAACTCTAATTTCTTGGAGAATAACAGGCAACGCAAATCGAATTAAATCAATATTTTTATCCTATTTCAATTTTATATTATAATAAATTAGCAATTAAGGCCACCTTAGTTCCAATGTGGGAGAATGTTTCAAAAAATAAGAGTTTCAAATCTGAAGTTTCATATTCCATGAATGAATGATATACATATGGTTTTAATTTCTATCTTTAATGAATAATTATATAAAGGGCGTCCTCGCTAGCCTTTACAATTTAAGGGGGCTCAACTAAATTAATTTTATGGGGCCAATTTGCGGGTCTTCGGCCGGGCTTTATATTAATATATTATACTTATTTAAAATTTGCTAATTACAAACAATTATTTAATATAAAATTTATTTATTACAGTATAAAATATTCTCAATGGTTGATATAAGAAAAATTTGCGTCTAAAGAATTACAAGTGATAAAAAGGTTAATTAATTCATACATATGCCTCAAATGATAATGGTTTTTTAAAAACCACATAAGACTATATAATTCTTAACAACTTACATTGACAAAAGGTCATAAAACTAATATAACTCTCTGTAACAAAGTTTTAAGAATGGACTAATAAGAAAAAATTTATTGGCCTTACCAAATTAACAATTCTTGAAGAAGAGAATATAAACGACCAATCCAAATCATAAAACTATATGGTAGTTAGAGCTTCCTCTTAAATGACATGATGGAAGCTAGATAAGTAATAGAGAAAATTATTGTTATATATTAAATTTCTAAAAAATTATCTTAAATTTTTAATGATTTATAAACGACTACACAGTTGACCATTATTGCTTATCTAAAGTATGAAATCATATGCTCTCATCAGCTGTAGTAATAATCTTAAATTACATACCCACACAAAAAATAGATGCTGGTTAATTTACAGTCATAGCCATGACACTCACGGTCAGGGTCTACTAGGCCAGGGGGGGGGGGTAGGAGACAAATGCCTCCAAAATATATTGGCATTTTGGGGGATATGTATTGATTGATTTTGGGGGGGGTGATATTGATTTTTGGTGGGTAGGCATTAATTTTTTCGGGTAGGTATTGATTGGGAGGGGGGGTAATTTTTGATTTGTATTATAATCTTTTTAAATCCATTAATTGATACGATTATGATGGTTATCGTTGATTTTCTGACGTCAATTAAAGTAAAGATATTTGTCAATTAATAAATAATATAAACTTTCTTTGTGAACTATTTTCATTTACCATTTATCAAGTTAATATTTACACATTTCCTATTTGGTACTTTTCTTAGAGATTAACATATTTATATTAGATTTTTAATAAATTACTAGATTTTAGCAGAATAAATTTTAGGTAATTTTTTGAGTCATGCTTAAAAACATATATCAGCAAGCATAGAATAATAAAAAACATAATATGTAAAAATTATATTATAATAATTATTTCTTTATAGATGTCAAGTAACAGAACCCTATTTAAAGTGAAATCATATTATATTAATTGGAAAACTTCTAAAATAAGAAGTGACAAGATACATGAACATTATAAACATAAACATCCTCATGTCAAGCCAGCTAATATTATAAGGGTAGCCATCAAAAGAGATAATAATAATTGGCTATCCTTAAATTGTGATATTCCATATAATATCACAAATGGAGTTGAAACCCAGTTGCAAAAAAAAAGACAATAACATCTTACTTCCAAAAAGTAATATTTTTTATTTATTATTCTAACTAAAGACAATAAATATTGTTGAAAATATACCTTAAATTTGTGAATTAATAGAAACTGATTTTTATTTAAAATTTACCAGAATAATATTAATATTAAAGTAGTCAGGGTATAGAGAAAATAAATTATATATTTTATTATTAAATATATTTTTTAACTGTTTATCACACTATTTTTATATCTATATATATTTTATAAAGTTCAATTTAACAATATGTTTAATAGGTTAATAATAAAAATTTAAAACCAAAGTATTAAAAAAACTTATTAAGTTAATATAATGTAGTAAAATAATAAAAGTAAGGTAATGTTAATTTATAGGAATTTTTAAATTTAAATCTTTTCATCTTTAATTGAATTAAGATTTCAAAGTTCTTTTACTTTTTTTTATAATATGAATTGGATTCAACTATTTTCAAAATGTTATCTGCGTGAATTTCATCCACTTACTTTATGTGTTATATTAGGTATGTTTATAATATTATCATTGTTTTATTTAGCTATTAGAATTTTCTAAGATACAATGTTATTTATACTAATTTTTTTATTTATAAGTTTACTATTGTTTTTACAGTCATTATAATATTCTTTTATGATTTCTTCATTTGTTCGCAGTTTTATATTAATCTGCATCTATCATGCCTATGAATCTTTCAAGTATATTTTCAAAATTTTTAACATGATCTTCCTAACAAAGACATTTTATTAATGTTTCTGATTAACGCGTTCAAAATTTGTGAATTCCCTTTGTATTCTACATTCACTGCTATACCTATCACTTGTATCATCTTGCCATTGTAACCTGATAACTTTATGGACTTCATAATATTTTTAATGCCTGTTTTCTCAATCATGTATTCTTGTAGAATTAAAACATTTATTAAAAACTTAATCATAATGTAGTTAAGAAAAAAATTACCATTTGGCTAAAATTTTCTTAAAAATATAGTTTTTTATAAGGAAAGAAATTAAAATCCTCTTTATTTATAGAAATCTCAGTTATTAAAAATTCACAAATTGTATTATCTCCTCATCCAATTCCCAGTTCCAGTGAGGCGCTTACTTTGCATAATGAGGTATTTAATTTAAATACAAATTATATGATAACTTTTGGAGGAAATAAATTATGAGTATGAGGATATTCAAATATTTCCAACATTTATTAAAAACTTAATTATAATGTAGTTAAGAATAAAATGACCATTTGACTAAAATTTTAGTAAAAATTTAGTTTTTCATAAGTAAACAAATTATAATTTTTATTTATAGCAAACCTCCATTATTGAAGATACAAAAATTGTATTATCTCCTCATCCAATCCCCAGTTTCAGTGAGGCGCTTACTTTGCATGAGGTATTTTCTTTAAATAAAATTTATATAATAACTTTGAAGGGAATAAATTATGAGGATATTCAAAGTCCAAGTCTTATTCAGCTATACAAAAAGAAGGAACCAAATAACCCATTTCACTTCATATTATTTAGGATGACTAATATTTTGATTAATTTCATAATTGCTGTAGGCCCTTGTCAGCCATGTACAAATAAATTTCAATATCCTGTTACTCTCAAGAGGTTTTAAATAATATATAATTTTCATTAATTTTTATCCATCCATTATTTCGATACCTATAGAAAGGTTAATATAGATGGTTCCCTCAACCCCAATTGGCTGTCTTATAGCACTACTTTATACAAAGTCTTTTGTCTATATTGTATTATGTTAGGTGGCCCAATACTTTTTGGACTCAACTTGGAGTAAATAAGTGGAAAAACCTAAAGCGTTTTTTAGAGAGACATGAAACATCTTCTCTTTATAAAGATTGTGAATATACAAACATAACTTGGCTTGCAAATAAACGCATTCAAGATCATTTGCTATCAAATAAGCTTGATATAATCATGGAAAATCGTAATATATTTCCGATGACATTTTGTACCTTATAAAATGTAATATAGCCTTTTGGGATTCTAATTTGAATGAAGGTAATTTTATGTGTCTCTTAATGGCAAAAACGGTTTCAACTTTACGTGCATACATGGATAACAACGAAAAATTGCAGAATAAAAAATCAGATAAAATTTCGAGACCTTATATAAATTTACTGTCATATGGCCACGTGACAAAAATAACTGAAATTATTAAAATAAAAATAACAAAAAGCATCGGTATATAGAAGATGATCTGCATCCACATCCTGTAGAAAGGATCATACATGTTTTTACAACATCAGAAACCAGTGGTGAAAATATAAAGAAACATCTTTTTTCTAAGTTTAATGATCTTAGTCTTCCTCTTGATTATTTGGTTGGACAATGTATGGATGGTACAGGGAGTATGAGAGGAGTATACAAAGGAATGCAGGCTTTAATATTGAAAGAAGCTCCAAAAGCCATCTATATTTGGTGCCATGCACATCGGCTAAATTTAGTAGTTGCTCATGTTTGTGTATACAAAATTGAAATGAAAAAGGCAATGGGAATATTAGATGAGTTATATAATTTTATGAATGGAGTTAGACGTCAAGGTGTGTTTGTTAAATATCAAATGAGAAAGTCCAAGAAATCTCTTAAAAGAATTAAAAACACAACAAGGTAAATAAAATATTTTTAATGAAACTTATATATTTTCAGAAATTGGTCATCATCCTACAAATCAGTAGAAATCTTTTTAGATGTTTATGAACTAGCATCATTAGTTGAATTAAAAGTTTCTAATGACCCAAGCATCTCTTCCATTGCCGATGGATTTATATCAAGAATTTAGGATGAAAATTTCATATTAAGTCTATTTATTTTGAAAGAAATATTGAAATGTACACATGAAACTAGTATTGAAATGCAGGCAGTTGGTAATGATTTGGCTATGGTAACCAAATTAATACAACATACAAAAAATAAATTACAAAGACTAAAAGGTTAATATTAGTTACTATTTCTATAAATAATTTTAAAATATAGCTAATGGAGACAATATATTTTAAAAATTACATTCCTTATCTAATAGTTTTTTGAAAAAGAATAATGTAATAGATATGAAATCAATATTCAAATTGGATCAAACAGAATTCAATAATTATGTTGAACAAAAAAAACAAGTTGAATAAATTAAAAATTTTAAATTATTATTTATTGTTATAGATATAGAACGGAGATATTTTTCTCTGTGCTAAATGCAATAATTAACCACCGAAATGATCGATTTAATTATGATTGTTTAAATTTTTTATCACAAATATCCATTTTTACTCCCGCTGGAATTATGGATAATGAAAAAATAGAAGGATGGCAAATATCCGAAATTTGTCATACTTATCAATTGGATGTCCAAAACATTGTTGATGATTATAATGATTTTCGCTCTTTATATTTGGAGTCTCAATCAATAATTTTTTGCGAAAATCTTTTGAAAGTTAAAAAGTTATATATTGATGAAAGTAATTTATGATATTTTATTTGA